TGTGTGTGTGTGTGTGTGTGTATTTGGCGGTCGGTTTGGTTCAAACCGCCCAAAAAAGGTTCCAAACCGCAGACCGGACTGGACCGCCCGGTTTTGCTATTTTCCAAACCAGACCGGACCGCCAGACCGCTCAAACCGCCAAAAACGGTCCGATTTGACTTGATTTGGCCGGTTTAAGCGGTCCAACTGTTTTTTTGAACACCCCTACATTCATGTTACCTTCACACATTATAATATAACTCCACATAATATAAGAGTAACTTCACCACTTCTCATTAAAAATCTTATCTCACGTCATCTCAAGTCCCTCTCTCTCTCTCTCTCTATATATATATATATATATATATATGAGAAAAGGTAGTTAAAGTATTGTCTCTCTTTATTAACTATATATATCAATCATAACATGGTTTTTCTTTAATGATCTTTTCCTACATCTGTCAATAAGTCCAAAGTCATAGATAACTGGTCATCAAACCAAGTAACCAAAAACTGCAAATGCTTTTAAACTCGCACATAGTATAGTTAGTACAATTTGTTATCGAGACAATCAATAGATCAAGTACTACGAAACTAAATACCTTGACACCATTTTTGTTTATTATGAGAGGAGACCGAAACAATGGAACTTTGTTGAGATATAATATGCAAAGGTTACAAGACATCGTAGGTAAGGTCTGGGGAATAAGATATACGCAGACCTGTTATCTATTTAAACAGATCAAACAATTGATTCAGTAAAAACCCCAATAAAAAATGAAGTTCCAAATATATATATATATATATATGTGTGTGTGTGTGTGTGTTCCATTCATTTGCAATTGAGCTTTAGTATCTTTTCTATACAGCTGTGTATACAAAGTAATAAATATGGGTTAACAGAAATGCTGTTATGGGACTTCAATCTAACCACTGTTTCTATATCATCTTTTCAAATTTGTCAAGCTTCTTCACCCTTTGCATGGACCTAAGGAGCAGGGCTATAAATACACCTGCATTCATAGATTTTGATCATGTTCATCAGCTAGACAATGATCATTAGAACTGAAACTAGTCATGTAAAAACCAAACCAGACCAAACAAGTCTAGTATGTCCCACCCGGAGTTGGAGTCTGGGGTTGGGATGTATGCAACTTGTCCTCTACCCCAAAGAGTAGAGCGGGTTGTTTATTTGAAGACCCCCTGGCTTTTGAAAAGTGTGCAGAAAAAAGAAGTTTGCCCAAAAAGTTGGCTGAAGTTAGTCACCTGCAGCAACAAACGATCCATTTGCTATAAGTTGGCTGCCTTGGCTGCTAAATGTGACACCTATGTTTACGAGCGTACCCCCAATAACCGTGTACAAGGTTGCCATTTGCAATATTGTGGCCTTCCGAGCTGCTCGTTCAGACTGATGAATTTGACAATATCAAATGGTTACGGACTGAAGAAATTAGAATGAGAAAAAGGGATGGTGGTTGTCACAATAAGTGGAACCCTATTAGATTACTTCCCAAAAGAGCCCTTCAGGAGAAAGGAGGTTCCAACATATATTGAGAAAAAATGGTCCAAACACGCCCCCTCCAACAGAGGCTAGACGGGCACATATTGTCCCGAAATGTTGTCCCTAGAGTGGTGGACCAAGACTTTGATACAGTCTACATGTGGAAACCATTAGATAACTCTTTAAATAGCCCTTGAGGAGAAGAAAGGTTCCAACATATAGTGAGGAGAAATGGTCAAAATGTATTCAACGTAAGATCCAACAGTAATTTCAAAAAGATGCAAAAGGGTAAAATACCTCCAGAACTCTGACACGAAGTTTAATGTCTCCTGATTCTAGTTGTTTCACAAACTCTTCGATCCGCTGAACTCTGTAAGGCATCGACACGGTGTATGATCTTGCCTGAAAGTTCATTAGACTGTTTTTAGCATAGAACATCACCACTTCTGTATTTCCAAAATGTAGGCATCTAATTTAGGGAAATCAGAGAAGATATCTTACGTCATTGGCTTGCTTTTGTATTTCCTGGACAAGTTGTGTTCCACTGCGCCGCTGTTGTTTAAGATCTAACAGCTCCTGTAAGCGACTCGGATGATTTAAAATCTAATCTCGAAGGGACTCAATAATCTGTTCTTGTTGAAACTTATATGATTASTGTATCACACAAAGATATATAACCTGTGCATAAGGTGCAGCAATCTTGACGAATGAAAAATCTGGAACGAGTAAATAGCCAATTCCTGGAAGGAGACATAATTACAAGTAATGAGGTTGGCAGTTGATCAGCGTATATGAGTTTAACATGAGTATGAATCAGGCTATAAAAATAGAATTGTCAACGAAATGAAGTCAAGTAGAAATGCAGTTTTACTTCGACTTATGATTTGAGAAGAATCAAGAGCGAGTGAAAACTCCATTTGTCTCTGCGACGTTAGCCTAGCAGGTATCTTTGCAAAATGAGTGATGGGCTTCAATTCAATGTATGTGTTTGTATGTAAATATAGATACATACATAAAACCAAACAAACAATATGTATATATACAGTTATACACACACGTACATACATACATACATATATATACATACATATATATATATATATATATATAATGGGGGGGAGGGAGGGAGGAGGGAAAGGTGACCTTCAAGAGTGGAAAATGCCCTAATAACAAATGTGAAGGTGGATGGAAACCGGAAAGGCTGATCTGTTGCTATAGAAAATAAATCCTGCAGGCAAATTATGACATTTTCAGGAAACCATCTTCATATTAAGCACCATCATAGCATTACTTCCATGCAACAGTTGGAACGAAAACAAATCCACAAAATATCCAGAAAAACAAAACTTAAAAGTACTTTCGAGTGTATCAACTGCTTACCTCGCCTATTGCTGCCAAAGTGGTCTCCTGATCTGGTGACTGACTTAGCAAATTATCCAAAAAGAACTGAACAGATCTCCTAACCTAAGATTGTTATGAAGACAAATCAGATATGAAGAATAAATGAACCCTAATTGACTAGATGCAGGGTTAGATGGCTTATGGTTGGAGGTTCAATTTAAGACATTTAAATTTAAATTCAAATGACAAGATGATGGTTTGCATACTGCTGACATGTCTCCAGTAGGTTGAAGCGCTTCAAGACTTATCAAACTGTTCATAACCTGCATAATATCATATACCAACTTTTAAGCTAATTTAAATACACAAACTGAATTATAGGAGTTTCGAAAAGTGAGCATAAAGAAGCCAGATTATGGTGTCATTTGCTTTATGGTACAAGGAGAATACAAAATTCTAGAAATAGTATGCAACAAGACCTTTTTTGCATCTTTTTCATAAACTGCATAGAAAAGATCCATTAATCTTTCTCTTGTGAAGGACTTGATCTCCCCCATCATGCCAAAATCATAGTAGATTAATGATTCATCCACATCGATAGCAAGATTTCCAGGATGAGGGTCGGCATGAAAGAAACCTGTTTTAAGTATCTGCATATTATAGACAAATTTAATGAAAATTCAGTCCAAAAGAAATTTTAACAGTGTATGACTTTTGCATTCAATAAATGTAAGAGGTGGTGAATAAAGAGGAAGATTCTCAACCTGAATCAAGTACGATTCAATGGCGTGTGAAGAGATTTGGGATCGACTGAAACCCCTTTCTTTTATCGCATCTAAGTTATTAATCTTAATGCCTGTTTCACAGAAATTTCAAACACAAAAGCACCTTTAAACATGGTAACTATTTGCCTCTTCAGACCTAAGTATTAGATTGCATAATTCCAAAAGAATTATAGAGTTCAGATTGAAACCTGGAACATACTCCAATGTCAGCACCTTCTGTGCTGTATAATCCCAGAATACTTGCTGCACAGTCACGATGACTATGAAATTAGATTAGAATGCAAAGAATTCTATGTCGCTTATTTTAACTTGAACTTTTTTTCCAGAAATTCTCTATACATTAGTCACGACAGTGGTCCTTCTACAGAGTCTAATATTACAAAAAAGCAAGGACTCAAGGAAGAAACATACAGGCACTCGGACCCACTTTATATTACGAAAATCTCGACGAAATTTATCAGCATTTTTCCCTTCATTTATATAATCAATCTCCTCGTACAAAATCCTGCAAAAATAATACAACCAAGAAAACAAATTGATCAACTTAGGTAGGCCAAGATAAAAAAAAATACATAAAAAGAGCACAAACGAACAATCTGCTTCTTTTTCTTCCCTATTTCACATTGTTTACCAAAAAAAATGCTAAATTTATTATGCGCCACAATAACTAAACCAAGTGCATACATTATCTTGGAGTTGTAGTTGATTACATATTGATGATCATTGATCAATGCTGGGTACTTACTTCGCACATTCATCATAGATGCCTATCCAGTCCCTTGTCGGACCACCGAGAGATTCACTTCTTTGAAAATACTCCGCAACTAACTTCAAATTTCCTGGATGAGAAGAGTGTATGATTTAGTCATGGTAAAAACTGCAAAACTGTAGGTAAACATGTAAGAGATGCACTCACGTAAATCAATGTCAAAAAGTTTCTTCAGACCAGGTCTTTGAACTTTGATAACTACTTTTTCTCCATTATGTAATATTGCACGATGTACCTAAAGGAAGATCTTCATTAGGTCTATATCACGAGAAAAACAAAACATCATGAAGATGAATACAGGAAACACGATCAAATCAATGTCTTCAGCTATTTTTGAAGGTTGGGTTCTTTCTTTTCTTCCTTTTGTTTTCAAATAGTTTAGTTAGATTTAAAACCCAATTATAGAGAATCAGAGATAAGCTTCACCTGACCCAGACTAGCAGCTGCAATTGGTCTTTCTTCAAACTCCTTGAAGATTACATTAACTGGAGCTCCCAATTCTTTCTCTATGAAACTTTTGGCTTTTGCTGGTGAAAAGGCCGGTACTCTGTCCTGAACCATATGATTGCCATAGTTAACAAAGAAAACATCAGAATCCACATTCAGCCTTTGATCGCACCGTAGAAATCACTTCTCCACATACCCAAGGTAACAACAGAAAGAAGCTAAAAGATATATGCAGAGAAGGGAAGCTATACCTGTAACTTGGCGAGCTCATCGACAAATTCACGTGGAAATAGATCTGACCTTGTTGAAGATAACTGCCCAAGTTTGATAAAGGTTGGGCCAAGTTGAAGCACACACTCTCTTAGCCATGCAGCTGTTTTCCTTCTTCTGCTTTTCTAAATACGCATGCAGCAGTTAGTAATAGAGATGGTGAAAGTAATGGATAGCAGAAATCAACGCATACTCAAATATCGGCATACAAACCTGCTTGTCCTCTGTGAAGCCTCCAGGATATGCCCACTTTGCATTGTCGAACAGGACACGAACACGAAGAGAAAGAACAAAAGACCACACATCTATTGATCTTTGTACTGAATTATAATTTTCATTTGCCCAGCTGAAACTTTCATCTGATGGCAAGACTTTCAATTCTTCAGAAGGCAGAAATCCAGTGGGTTCTCTGACTTTTACAGATTTAACTGGTGCTGGGGTGGTCGTTCTCTTAACAAGACTTGTTCCATTAACAACTTGTGTTGATCCATTCACTACCCCTGCTGTTTGTTTGGATAGAGGCTTGTTTTTCACCACCTCACTGGTAGGAACCATGGTGATTGCTTGACCATTCTTTCCCAACTTTACAGGTTGACCGTTGGCACCCAAATTCACTGGTTTACCATTAGCACCCAACTTAACAGGTTGACCATTTGTATCCAGTTTTGCAGGTTGACCATTGCTACCAAATTTCATGGGTGATTCTGTCTGTTGCATCTCAACATGAAACCTGTGAAACCTCTCAATTTTAGGTTTACATTCATGCCTATCCAACTTCAGGGTAGATATTGATCTTGAAAAGCTGAGATTGTCCGTTGTTCTCCCTTGATTTACCAATTGCACATCACGGCAATAGCAGCTGTTAGAAGCCAGTATTGCCGCCATTCAAGAAGAAAGACACCTGGAGTTTTACACATCTGTGAGCAAATATAAACTAAACCAATAGACACACATGAAAAGACTTGAAATGGGAATAGTTGCACTAGCATCCAATATATGGGCCATGAGAGAGCCCTCAAATTTTATACATGTTTTATCCTTTTACCCAATTATGCACGTTTTAGCCCAATTATGATGTTTTTAGGCTTTCACTCTTTTAACCGATTTGGCAAACCCTGATTCCAAATTTCAAAGAATGACTTTATTTAAGTGAATTTCATATTTACTTTGTCATTTTAGACCATTTTTGCAGTTGATGTGTGAGACTTGTGATATATGATACTAACTTTTATATTTTGTTTTATTTATTACCCATCCAGTGGTCTCAATTTCTTATACACGTGTAGCAGGGCCTTCAGAAAGATTGGAATGACTCTTATCTGCTCTTATGAGTTGGAGAACTATATTATCCAGCCATTGACAGAAAAATTAAATGACTGTAAGAGGTCAAAGGCATGCCAACTTTTTTTTATTGATCCATTCTAGCCTTAGAAAATCATATAAGCTGCAATGCAGTTGGCTCATAATAATGGATATACCTAATAACCTAAAGTAACAATGACTTGGAAACCAATCTAATTAACGAAAAGTTAAGCACAAACCCAAATTAAGAAAATAATGTACTAAAGGCCTCGATGTTTCGCAATCTCCTTAAAAACACCTAACTTTTACTCGCAGGGGAAAACCTGATCTGCGTATCATACTCGAATTAAAGTAATAGATTCAACATAGCAAAATCTGAGAATAAATTGATCACTAGCCTTGACCTTTTGGAATATGAATCCCATGAATTAAGATATTCAAACGACGTTCAAAGCATATAGAAATTCGCTTGTAGTAACCGACGGATTTTATTTGAACAAGCAAGAATAAGCTATAGAATCAAATCCGAGAGAAACTGAAACTGAAATCGAAATTGAAATGATGATATGCTTACAGATTAAACTAAAGGAGATTCAGATACAGATCGCCGAAGTTCCGAATCGAATTGAATCGCTGGAAAGAAGTCCGGAAGCAGGGATAATGAGAGTGAGCAACTGAATAGAGACAGGTGGAAGCAAGTAACGTGCAGAACTGTTGTTCCCAGTTGTTATTTTTCGAACAAGTCTTGATGATGCATAGCGACAATCGGTGGTAGCGAATCTTGTTGGAGGGGGTGGGGTGTTCGATTAACGACCGCACCACCGATATTTACAGTTGATTTTTTGATTGGTAGGAGTAATCCGCCATTTGTGTTTCTCCATTGCATTACGTGTCTTTCTCCATCCCCATCGACATGTGGTTTGCCAAGGACTCGCATCGATTTTGGACTGTAGCAACTTCTACTATCATCCGTCGATTAAAATTGATGGTTTAATCCGTAAACAATGAGTCAGATAAGCTAAACCAGGTGCTTTTACTACAAATGGGTTCGGTAATACCATCTTTACTCACGGTCTCAATCCGTGTAAGTACACAAAAAAAAATTAAAAGGAAAAAAATTTAGCAATTTCATCCGAGCTTATCACCACACAAACCAAGATTATAATTTTCTTATCTTATTTTACTAGTTGCGTATCCGTGCAGTGTGACGGGAGATGTAAATTTTAACGATTTTAAAGTTTCACTGGTTTAATTAGAGAAGATTTAACGATAATATAAGTTATAATTGGTCTTTACATATTAATACAATTTAAATAAATAAGAGTTATGGTTCCAATTATAGTCTATCAATGAAAAAATTGTATGACATTTTAAAATTCAATATATTTAAAATCCAACATATTTAAATGACTCCACAAATGTGTTCGATTTATACCAAGAGCAAAGAATCAATAGATCGAGAACGAGACCGATAGTTCTAGAGCAATTAAATTAGAGAACTTTTAATAACTCATGATAAATATCAGTTTGAATCTCACATTAGGGGATGGGGACAAAACATAGAGGTATGAGAGGGTGAAGACATGAGTGAAAGGTGTCAAAAGTATTTTGGGAACATGAAAAGAAAATGTAATAATATGCATTGGAACTTGTATTATCATTATGAGTTGTAGATTAAGATATTTTAAGACTGAATGCATAAAATAGTAGTACTTAATGCATTATGAGTTGTTTTTAAGGTTTTGTACATAAATGTATAGTACTTTGTACATTAAAAATTGTTTATAAGGTAGTGTAGATATATCATATCTTATATTATTATTGGTCAAAGTTATATTTTTTATTTTATAAAACATATCTGATAAAAAAAATAACTTTAATAAAAAACTAAAAAATAATAAATATATCAAAATTCATGGTTACTATTCTCTACAAATAGAGCCCATCGTATCATCACACCAATCTTTCTATTTATTTTAATCATCTTGTTTGTTATCTTACAAATTCCAAAAAAAAAAAAAAAACTTTCATTTTCTTTCAATTCAGTCACGATAATTAATTATGATTGTTTATGTATTTTCAGATATGTAATTTCAACTCCCTTCATGGTTGTTATCTTCTAGGCCTCGTGAGAATAATCTGAGATTAAAGCAAATTGGTCTGAACACCTACGATTACAAGAAAAAAAAGGTTCACAAGATATTCAAGTTTGAAGGTTAAGAGTTCGAGTACGAAGAAAAAAATGAACTCAAGATATATAATAAGTTGCAATGACGAACCTATCGATTCCCCGTTTCCGATGCTCCTGCTTAACTGATTTTTGTAACTAGATTTTTTGGGGGTATCAAAAGTGCATGCGGCAAACTTTTAAATCAACCATAAAAATTTAAAAAAAATCCATCGAAATCAACCAAAAAACCAATAAAATCCTTCGAAATCAACCAAAAAACCGAAAAATTCCCTTGAACAACCAAATAACTTGAAATTTTCTCAAAATCAACCAAAAAACATGAAATATCCTTTGAAATTGTGGAATTCTCCTAAAAACACATTGTGCCTCTAATCCACTTTAAAGGTGCAACCGTTCAGCAAAAAAATTGGATTTATCGCTGATAAGTTGACTTATAGTTTATTAATATCTCAAACTTCAATTATTATCAAGCTTTTTAAGCTCGAAATATGCATTAATTATTTTTAAGCTCTAATTTATAAGCGTTTTTTATTGAGCATAGTTCTCACTTATCGTATATATTTTTGAGCTTTTGAATTAAACTTGCTTTATCAAGTATGATTTTCATAGATATTTTTGAGTCATCGGATCTTTCAAATCATGCACAAATCCTCTTCGAGCCACGGTTCGGACCTATATCAAAAAGACCCGTAAAAATGTGACAAATACGATTTGATTACATTTATAGTTACAAATTTTAAGAATAATGTTCTTGACACGTATACAAACTTTTAATCTTTTAGATATGTTTTCTTTGTAGTTGTTCTTTTCACATTACATATCTAATTCACGATAATAAAAAGGAATTTAGAACTTTAATGCTTAATACTAGAGGTCCTCAAAAATCCGACCAACTGAACCCAACCCAATACGAAATAACTCAACCTGAAGCAACCCGATGTCTAATCGAGTTGTAAAATTTTCAAATCGTAAGTATTGGATTAAAATTAAGTTACTATTATTTGAACTCAACTCAACTCGATGATCCGATATTCTTGTATTTCTTGAATTTAATATGATAGTTGAGATAAATAAAGGAAACTGTTGAAGATTAGTCAATAGACAGACACAATTTAATTAGAATTAACAGAAATAATTAACTTGTCGCTAATATGAGGAACTAAAACCAAGCAATTTTGCAAACGTCAAATACAGATGCTGAATAAATAAAGATCAGATACGAGTTTCATTATAAGTGAAATAGTTTAGGGACCAAAATTGAAATTTACTCTTTTAAAAAGAAGGGAAAACGTTGTCGTGCACGGTTTTGTGGACCGAAATTTAAGCAAATATTTCACTATTTCAGTTGCACATACGATTGTCCTTAGAAGAAAACAAAAACCCTCTCTTGTTTTCGTGGTGCGTATTGAGATTCATCGAACAATAAAACCAGTTAGGGTGTTACGGGGTTTGGAAGCTAAATTAAGATGCGATTTCTATGTTGATATTCAATTAGTTACTTAGGTACCGTTTACTAAATACTTATCCGGTAAATGTGGATCGGGTAACTTTAAGCCAATATTTTGCTTCAATAGCTTTCTCAAATCCCTATTTTCACTTTTTAGCTATATTTTTTTCGGTCACTCTTCAAAATTGTCTTTTACGTAGATGTTATTACACATATGTTTAAGGATTTTTTAAGTGAAAATTTAAATCTTTACTTAATCTGAAAATCGAATTTACACAAATACACAAGTCAGAAGGATTTAAAACAACTTATACTTTTCTACAAAAGCAATTATCAACTTATTATAAGTCAGAAGGATTTTTAACTTCTTTAAAAACTTCTTATTACCGGTTTGACACCGATATAAGTTGTTTATCCAAACACTCAAAAGTGCTTATTACCGTTGTCACATCGAAATAAGTCAATAAGTTGTTTTTTATAAGCAATATTTCAATTATAAAAATGTTTAAAAATTTGAAGTTACAAACCCATACGCATCCAGCACGCCAAAGAACACTTCCCTTCTGGTAGAATTCTCGGCATCTTTCCTACCCAAAAGCACCTCTAAATTTATATATGATTCCTTCTTTTAAGCGTATGATCGATGCCAAGTTTCTATTCACCACCAGAAATCTCATCCCTTCTTCCCATAATGTTACAGTGGGTGTTTGGGATTGCTTATTTAAAATAACTTATGTTTTTTTATAAAAGTGTTTATTAACTTATGTGGTATCAAACCGGAGTTTTCTAAAAAATGTTTGGATTAGCTTATAGTGGTACCAAACTGCAATAAGCTGATAAGTTGTTTTTTAGTGTTTGGCAAATTTTGCTTGTATCTGTAAAATGACCAAAAAAGACAAGGAGAAGATTGATGTTGTTATTTGGAGAAGGGAGAAGATTGAGATCGATGTTATCCGGAGGAAAAAAGATAGGTATAAAAGATGATAGGGTTAAAATTGTAAATTGATAATAAGCAGTTTTTCATAAGTCAGGATGATTAACTTATCAAAAACTGCTTGTTACCGGTTTGGCACCGATATAAACAACTTTTTTTTTTCTTATCCAAACAATAGATATTAACTTATCACCGATGCCAAACTAAAATAAGTTAATAAACAAATAAAATAAACAATCCCAAACACCCCTAAATTTCTTTCTTTTCATTACTCATACGAGAAGGTCAAGAATCACCATTATAATATTCAAAATTAGACCCTCTCTTTGACCCGGTATTTAATTGGTAAAAAAACGTTAAATGCACTCCAACTGTTTGTTCAAAGTCCTACAATGGCAACTAATGTGCATTTTCTCCTTCTATAATATAGTCTGTATTGATGTAATTGTTTAATTCGATTTCGTTTTTGTTAAGCCAAGGTTGTTGAACAAGATTCTGGTTTTGTTCTTAATTTTATGTCGTTGCCACGAACAAAACTCAAGATTTGGCCATCAAGTCTTTGATCATATCCCCTATAAATTGTTGGTGGTCTTTCGAGTACATGTATAGGTTTGTCTTCAAAAAGATACGTACGAATTGCATCGACGGTGGTCGAAAGATCTTACAATCTTCAATCTGTACGACAAACTTTAACCCTATCTGTGGAGATTTTCGTCCTGGTGCTGCAGAAGGTACTAATTGCATAATCTTCACCCATGTCAATTTTCACTGTTAAACATGCAAGATAAGTTGTTTGGTCTTTGAATTTTGAAATATTGGTTATGGGAATGCTTAATTTAAATGCTTAATGATAAGAAAATATATTAAGTGAATATGTATTCATTCACATGTTCAAGTACTCATAGCCTAGTCCATTACATCCTCTATATCCAATTGAGGTGGGACCTTACTTGTAGTTATTTTTTTGGTAACTGTGGGTGTCCGAGCCATCTAGTCTGCACCTTGACTAATCATATGGTCCTGGATATAACATTAAAGAAAATCCCTAGTGGCCCTGAGCAGACTCGAGCTTACGACTTATGGGAGGAGCCCCAAGGCATAGTTTTTATTTGTCATTTGAGACAACCCTTGTGCTACAGTTCACAAGAATGGTTTTCTTCAATTTATTGATTAATTAAACTCCCTCATTCTTGACTTTAACATGTAAATTTGGTTGATAATCTGGCACGGAGGTTGTGACAGGTATGGTTGCACAATTTGGTGATTAACATACAAACTTAGAAAGTGTCTGATTAGAGGTATTAAACAGTAATTTATAGGATTGAAAATGAAAGAAAGTTTTGGTTTTCTATAATATAATGGACCATTCTCCCACAAACCCAAATTTTCATTCCAGGTTAAATTGTGGGAAATGAAAACTGTTATTTTCATTTTCATTCTCCTGCCTGAACCAAACAGCCCCTTAGTTTTGTTGTTGTTAACTCTACATGTATATTCTAGTTATCATGTACTCAGACTATTATCATTCACATATGAATATTTACTTAATCACCTTAATAAAGTAGTTTATTTCATGTTCCAATATTTCAGGCTTAAGGGACAAAGCTAGAAGTGCATTCCAAACTAGATACCGATCTTCAACAAATATGGTAACAAACATGGAACATTCGTCAAAGGTTTCAGAAAATGAAGTTGATCATGTTGATATGCTGAATGCCTCATATGATGCTTATGAAGGAGTTACTGTCAACATTAAAAACAACATGGATGAAAATGTCTTTACAACTCTACTTCAAACATCAATATCCCAATGGAGGCAGCAGGTAACTTCACATTTTTCTTCAGCTTGTAAATATGATATAATGAACCTTAAGAATTGCACTTGTACTCTAAAATGTTCTAATCACAAATGAAACTTTACACAAGTTCCTGGTAGGCTTATCGCATCTAATCTTATGGAGTTCTTTACTTACAGCTTTATGAGCTTAATGGTCTGAGCCATGACCCCTCACAGCCATACCGGAGTGTTTCTTTACAGCTCAATCATTAAGCCATTAAGCCAAAATATCTATATGGAATAAGCCATGACCCCTCACTTGTCTCCATTAAATCACTTCAAACAGATTAATACCAGAAATGCTCCAGAATAATTCAACCCTCTCTCTTTGACTCCCTCCAACCCGTCCGGTCTCTCATCCCTCACATACACAAATTTATCCAAACAGACAACTTAATCCATACAAGGCTTGATGGAAAAAAAATCAAACAGTCCCTTAGGATAGTAATATAAGCTCGAATGGTATACTATACCTATCAAATACACAGTCAGTGGGTGCTCCCATTTTCCAAGTTATTTTTCTTCCGTAATCATAGATTATTTTATTTGATTGGAACTCTTCAATTTATATCTTGCAGGGAAAGAAGGGAGTTTGGCTTAAACTGTCTCTTGAACTTGTAAATCTTGTTAAGCCTGCAGTGAAGGTAAATAAACTATGACTTATGAGAAACACACTTTCTTCCCATTGTGTTGGTCATATAAATTCTTTAATATTTTTTCCCTTTTTTGAAGTGTTAAAGAGTCTCACATTAGCTAGACTTGGACCATTTCTCGAAAATATATATTGGGACCTCCTTTTTGTTCAATGACTCTTTTGGAGAGTAAATTTGATAGGTTCCACATATCTCACATGGTATCAAAGACATTGTCAACCACTGTAGTCTGTAGGGACTCGACACTAAGGGCAATCTGTACTCGTCTAGCCCCCTCTCGACACTAGGACAATATGTGCATGTCTGGAGGGGGCGAGGTAGAGTCCCACATCAGCTAGACTTTGGACCATTTTTTCTCAATATATGTTGGAACCTCCTACTCTTTTCAAAAGGCTCTTTCAGAGAGTATAATCGGGTTCCACATATTCGAAGAAAAAAAGAAATAGATAAACTAGAAGAAAAAATAGGAGGCATGAAATGTGGTCATGTGTTCGTCTCTTTGGCTTATGTCTAACACAGATGTTTTCCTAACTCATTCAGGAAGGATTTTGGTATCATCATGCGGAACCAACATACTTGATGCTCGTCTATTGGATTCCTGAAACTAATTGTACGCTCCCGTATAATGCTTCCCATCGAGTTGGTGTTGCTGCTTTTGCCTTGAACAGCAAGGGGGAGGTTGGTTCGCTGCATTCATAACCCCATTTTTGCTATTTATTGCACTAGAAACTTTAATGCAACTAGAAAACTATCTAAAATTTCTGTATGATTTGTCGAAATTGAAAAGCAACTTGAAAACTTTAATTGGATACGCGTACAAGCGGCACGTCAGGGAAAAAACCACTTGTCCGGTTGTCCCTATTTTCATTTTCCCTTCTTGTTCTACCAATCATTTTAAAACACATCATGTTTCAGGTTCTTGTAGTGCAAGAGAAAACTGGACGCTTCAAAGGCAAAGGGATCTGGAAATTACCAACCGGTGTTGTTGAGGAGGTGCGTTAGTGTTATTTTTTTTCTTTACTACTTCACTTTCTCTTGTTTTAGTTTTCATGAGTACTACAACAAAATCAGCTTTATAGAACACCAGAAATGTCTGAATGTCCTAATAGACTGTTTTGTATAACCAAATAGTTGTATATCCTATGCAAATATGTTGCAACAAGTCGAATAGAATGTTTTTGGTTGTCCCAACAAGTTTCTAGGACAATTTTGAAACAAGTGTCATGTGTTCATAAAAACACTTCTCAACAGTGTAATATGAAAAAGGTAACCAACACTTTATTTTAAAGGTGTCTTAAAAACTTGTTAGGATACCCAAATATGTTATAACTTCTAATGTCCTATTGTAACATCTCTATCCAACATGCACGATTGTTTGATCCTATCACCTTAGGTCCTATAAAGCAGTTTGTTATGATATTTAGACATTTTTGGCGTCCACTAAAGCCGGATTTTGTTCAATTATATCATTACTCCAATTGTTAAAGACTACGCTATGCTTTTAGCCTTTTTTTTAATACGATTTTGATCAAATATTTTGTACACAGGGTGAAGATATATGTACAGCTGCAATAAGGGAAGTGAAAGAAGAGACTGGAGTATGTTATTCTGAATCTATCTTCATATTAAGTAAAATTATAGAGTATACAGTTGACCCATTTTTGCCCTCAGGCGTGTAGCTCAGTTGGTAAAGAAGCGGGGTGACTTTGCCCAAATACATAATAGATTCAGGTTCGAAAACCTGAATCCCACAGGATGCGGGCTTGAATCCCTCTGCTTGCCTTGGCCATTGAGTCAACTCATGAAATGCCTCCTCACATGTGATACCCAGGGGGCAGGTTCCTTTTGGGGCTTGTTGGGTTGCCAGTAATCAACCTTTTTGCCCAAATACTATTGACCCATTTTCAATAAGTTGATTTCATCTAAAATGTTTTTGCTAATCTCTCCAGATTGATACAGAATTTGTTGAAGTCCTTGCATTCAGGTTAGAAGTGTACTAAACATCTAGAGCTCTAAGTTTTAAATTTATATTCATAAACTCATCTGTGAAATGAATTACAGGCAATGCCACAAGTCATTCTTTAGCAAGTCTGATCTAATGTTTGTGTGTATGCTAAAACCAACATCTCATGATATCGAAAAGCAAGATTCAGAGATTGAAGCAGCTCAGGTAACATATGCTATATATATATATATACACACACACTCTATGCTACTAGAATCCATTAAAAACGAATTATTGCTTTCTTGTAACTGTGAGTGTGTCGGTCAACTCTCTTTTTTTCTTTTCGATTAACCTGGATATCCAACCTCCTATGCGAGCCGACTAATCTCAGGCCGACCACTTGTTTTGTGGTCTGGGACCTCCAGGCACTTTTGACCTTTTGAGCCCAAGCTCAAACCAATCAGACACCACCTTTGTGGTTTTCTAGGTCAACTTACGTGCTATGGCCCTGAAGTTAACAGTCAAATGATATCTGGGTCAACTTACGTGATATGGCCCTGAAGTTAACAGTCAAATGAAGGAAGCAGACGTAAAATCATCTATTTATGGTTGAGATATATATTTATATTACCTTTTTCCACCTAAATTCCAGTGGATGCCAGTTGAAGAATATGCCAATCAGCCCTTTGTAAAGAAGCATGAATCCTTTGATCGCATTGCTAAGATATGCATGGGAAAGAAAGATGACAAATTTGTTGGGTTCACTGCATTGCCTACATCAACTGCTACATCTGCCAAGAAGAGCTATTTGTATTCCAATTATCAGGAACACTTGTCTGATTCTTAAATTCAATACGCATCTTATCTAAACATCTTAATAGTTTTTATAGGACTTAACTTGTACATCATATTAATAGTGTCTGATTGTAAAAAGACGTGTTTATATCTGATATATATTTGTTGTATAAACTTAAGTTTTATAAAAACATATTTACCGTCCAATAAAACCCATTATTTTTGTAGTTTTTTGCGATTGAATTCAATGAGCCCCGTCATCTTAAAAGTCGTGGGTCAAGTGACATGTTGCAATCCCTTGTTGATATATCTGTAGTTTTGTCATCTGTACTCTCTTGATGATCACGTTTGCATATCTTGCCACATTGCTTACTAGGTGGCAAAATGCTCTGGTCATATGGCGTGTTGGCCATCTGTATTTCATGAAATATATATGATATATATATATATATATATGATATATATATATATATATAAAATCGTGTGAGAAGTAAAGTTAAGGTGAGAAGCGTAAGAAGGGATTTGCACTTTTGATCACCTTTAATCTTAAATTCATCTATGAATCATGTTTGATACGGTAATTGATCTGGTGCATCTCATTCTAATGTACATCCAGGGGTGAAGATCCCTTCTTATGCTTCTAATCTGTAACTCTCTTTCTCACATAAATCCAACCCATATATATACACATACAGAACCTAAAATTGATCATGAATAAAAACGTCATGAATGTTGTAACATATTTATCATGAATGTGTGATTCATGATAAATATACGTCTCATGGAATGTGGCACGTTATAAGCGGTTCCCCGGTTCGTAATCAATTTTAGGTTTCTATCGGAGTTTTCCGCCCTCTCTCTCTCTCTCTCTCTCTCTCTCTATATATATATATATATATATATATATATATATATAGTATTTAGTCATTTGGTAACTTGTTCCTTTGTAGCATTTTCAGGCGATCTGAAGAGAAAATAGGATGTCTTCAAGGCAGCTGATGGTCCTTCTACTTGCTTGCTCTTCTTGGTGGTTTGTTTCCAACTCCCAAAAACCTCAAGATGGTTATGGTGATCGTGTCTTACCACCAGCTGCATGTGTATATTGCAATCCATCTCTACCACCACCACCACAGCTGCCAGGAGGAACCGTAATATATGGTGCTCCGCCACCACCACAGCTGCCTGGAAGGGAAAGATATGGTGCTCCACCACCACCGGAGCTTCCTGGTGGTGGTGGTGGTGGAAGTGTAATATATGGTGGTCCACCACCACCAGCTGTAGGTGTCAATTGTCCGCCGGTAGCTCCGGTTGTGTGCTGCCAAAACTCACCTCCCATGCCTTATAGTTATCCTACTGATGGCAACTATACAGACACCTCCCACTCCCACTCCCACTTCCACTTTTCATTCAGCTCGTTTTCTCTTATGCATCTTTTGATACCCTTTCTCTTTCTTTTTCGTGTTTGAAGAAACTTTGGAACTTATGATTTCATTCAGCTCTTAATTCCTGTCAATGTGGAATATGTAATTTTTTATTGTAACAATTTGATCGTTGTATGGGTGTTTGGTTCATTGGATGAAATTTGAAAAAAATTAGAATGTCAATTTCGTCGATGAAAGTTCGTTCTTGTGTTCGATTTACGGACCGAATTGATTGGATTCCGTAAAATTTTGTGGCCGAGTGATTTGCTCGTTCCTTGGCACAAGTCAAGGGAATCGAATCCATTTTTCGACGGATGGAATGGATTTCAAATTTTGACTTTCTAAAGGTCGATAGTGTTGGTTAAATTGGATTCAATAGTTATTTTTCAAATCCCCAATCACTTGTCGCCCCATGGCGCAATCATTCCCGCCACCCTACCCCAATCATAGTGGTCACCCACCTATCCCTGCCCCACCCACCACCACGTTATTACCGTCGTCATCACACCCGACACCACCATACCACTACCGTTATTCTCACAACCGCCCCAGCCCACCACCACCACCACCATGTCATTACAGTCGCCATCACAACCGCCATACCACCACTAATTAATATTATGATTGCATTGTGTTTATAATTTGAGCAAAAATATGAAAATGTAATACACGAATATATTGGTCTTTTAATATTATCACTATATTGTATTTATTACTCTGTGAACAAATACATATTCCAAATTTTGAGACATTTCATTCAAATTCATGTCAATCCAACACATAATAAAATTTCATTTCAATTCTTTCAAAGTCAAATTACTTCATATGAAATTCCATTTTGCAAACCATGAACTCTCGGCCGTTTATCAAACATGTATTAGGTGAGCGCTTACCGACAAGAGCCATTGCTACAACCACATTTTCAAAATAGGCATAATAAATCACTGCCAAACCGGCACGGACAAATCTTGATTTAAGGTCTGATATCTGAATTTCATCTCAAGAGCTGCAGTGGAAACTTAAAGTATAACTGCGAGATTTGTTACAGAAACTAGATATAAATTTCAAGACGACTATCTAACTAGGCTATACGCCCTCGATTCAAGCCTCTAGCTCACATATTTCTCTTGCCTTTGTTAGAGCCCTCAAAGTGGTATTTCTCCGAAAAGGTTTTCAGTTTTGTAAAAATATCGGTTAGACCGGAGGTCTTGTAAATTCTCTCTAACACAAATGTTCACGTTGAAATAATAATGTAAACATAATTGAAAACAACAATTAAACACACTTTAATCGTAAGACACCAAACACCGTGTTGCAACGGTTGAACACATTTATGGTCACGCATACCTGAGCAACATAAAACAAATTCATGTACTACACTCGGGTACACACCTTACGCTCAGTAAAACATTCACACACACACACATACACTTCCATAGAGAAATCATGCTTCGATTCATAACCATTTATCAATGAATAAAAAGCTCCCAATATGAGTAATAAGGTATTAAACACATTCCTCATGAAAATCAGTCATCAATAGTAATAAAATGAACCACAAGGGTGGTGTTTGATTGGTTTGAGCTTGTCTCAAAAGGTCAAAAGTATCAGGAGGTCCCAGATTCAACTCCAAGGAAAATAAAAATCCCTTTTGTGGCCACGAAGGTTCAAATGCGGTGACTTTGGGTTATCTGCAAAGCAGGTGGTCGTCCTAGGATTAGTCGGCTCGCATAGCAGGATGGATATCCAGGTTAATAAAAAAAATAGTAATAAAATGGTAAGAGAAAACTCACCTGAAGTCCAAGCCTAATCACACATCCTTAGGCTAAGATTTCACCAACCGAACACTTGAATTGGAGTTACCAAAAGACGGGTTATTACTCTAATTTATAACTCACATAGGATCCCTATAAACTTCCGAAGGCAATGCCTCAAGGTAGAGATGGCCAAAAATCGGTCCCGGGCCGGTCCCAATCGGTCCTAACCTTTCTCATAACCGGCCATAACCGGTCCCGGTCGAAAATGATAGGACCGGTCAAGGTACTTCATAACCGGTTATGGGCCGCCGGTCCCGGTCCCAACCAGTCCTTGCATTAAAAAATAAGATTTTGTTTTTTTATTTTTTTAATGATATATATTTTTAATACATTATAAAATTTACAATTGGGTCACTCAAATACACTTTAAAAATGCGTTTTAATATAATTAAAATATGTTTTCTTATAAAAATACATTATAAAATTATTTAAAAATACATTTATTTATAAAATTATTTGAATTTTTGGGCCGGGCCGGTCCATAGTCGGTCCCATAACGGGTCCCGGTCGGTCCCGGTCCCACGGAACTACCAAAAACCTCAACGGTCTCGGTTTTCGGTCCCATAACTGGTCCTTACCGGTCCCGGGCCAGTCCTTTGTCGGTCCCGGTCCTCCGGCGGTCCCGGGCCGGGCCGGGCCGATTTGGCCATCTCTACCTCAAGGTGCAACCCCGCATTACCTTACAAGCGAAAGTTGAAAATTCACACACAGTGTGTTACGTGACCTGGCACACAGCCTAGATTACGGGATAATATTAAGTATTGCAACTTTAACTATTATGTTTGAACATTTGAATATTTACAAGTTCTTTCCTTACACACAAAAAAAATTGAAGCAAAGTTTTATTCTGTACAATTAAAAACCCTTAAACGTTACATGTGTTACCTGGAAACTCAAAATGTCACTCAAATTTTGAACAAAATGACAAGTTTTCATATATGTAACTTAAAGTTGGTACAAACATGAACCAACCGAAAAAAAAAATTGGTACCAAATACAATTGGTATTTTACGTACCAATTATAATTAGTTGGTATACAGTATTGAGAAAAAAGAACTCGGTATCACACCAAGTCCACCCCTAGATTGTATTTGTATATAAATTATGTTATAATACAATTACAATGATGTAAAACGAAGGCATTTCAATTCCGTTGTTAAAAATCTTTCGTCACTGTTCTTCGTCTTTTGAACCATGAGCCACACCATTTACATCACCACTCGTGGCCACCTTCGAAGAAGAGATTCACATTGTCGATTTTTTTTTACTGTGTATACCATCATATGTGATATTGTTAACGACTTAAAGTTATTAATCACAAGTGATATTGTAATATAATACATATGTTTGTGGTTTTTTGTGTTGCTATTCACATGTGATATTGTAATAGATTCATGTGTTCAATGATGCATCTCATCACATGTGATATTGTTAATATAGTCTTATAATAGTCCGCATTCTTTATATCTCTTCTATCAGTTAAACCACAATTGTTTTCACCAAAGTTGATCCACCTAGTCGCTTTGATATTCCCGTTGTTAAACTCAGTTTGGTATTCATCAACCATCTTTAGTTTGAGGGACAGTGCTAGAAATCTGTGTCTATATATACGTATAGCGAGAACATGCAAAAAAAAAATGCAAGAATAAATCATGTGTCTACCTTATCTGATTTTATGGTTGTGATATCAGTATTAAATTATCTCGTTAATTATAACAATCCCTATAACACGGTCTTATCTCTTAGCCAGGTCTATAACCCATTATTGCAAAAAGCAACGATCAAGCACAACCATGGCCTTAGTGATTTATTTCAAAGCCAAACTCGTGTCAAAAGAGTTCAATCAACAATATTGCGTTAATCATGTTGCAATTGTCCGTGTTACATATGTTCTCAGCTTAATCATTGTCGTTGTCCGAAACGGAGAATTTGTTCAACTTGAAGTAAAAAAAATGCATTACTGAAATGGACTTAATCGAAGAGGTGTATATGAACGAAGTTGCCATCTCAGATCTCTCATCCACCTTCTCATATTTGTTGTTGTCTCCTAAAAGAAATCTACAATCTCAAACAAGCAGCGACGGACTTACCTGTTAGCCGGTGGGTACATGTGAAACCACTTACTTGGTGCTGCATAGTGTAAAATTTCTAAAGTCGCTTAATCGTACAATCACATTTTTTGTTAGAAGCATAGGGGTTTAATAAACTTTCCTTCTGTTTTCTATCAATATATCATAGTTGGAGTTAAATTATATAACGACTTTTCTTTTTGTTAGTTTAGCGTTAATTTGCTTGGATTTTTTTTTATTAACCTAAATATCCAACCCGCTATGCGAGCCGACTAATCCCAGGATGACCACCTGTTTTGCAGATAGCCCGGAGTCACCATATTTGAACCTCCGTGGCCACAAAGAGATTTTTATTCATCCTTGGATTTGAACCTAGGACCTCCTGGTACTTTTGACCTTTGAAGGCAAGCTCAAACCAATCAGACACCACCTTTATGATTAATTTGCTTGGATTTGGGATTAATTATGCGTCTATTCGTTTTTGAAGATGAAAAGGAAATGGCATTTGTTGCATTTGGATTTAGTCGTGTAGAACCCTCAATTAGGAATTATATGAAGTAGAGAAATAAATTATCAGTTTTCATATATATATTGTATATAATTTATAAAATGTCCATTTTTGGTAACGAAAATCAATGCAGTGTACATAAAAACGTGACATGTGTATAGGGATTTATCCAAGGAAGAACTGATTAGTTTGTGGTAACCGTGAGATCTAATGTGAACCATTCGTTTGGGGTATTTAACGATATTTCTTAAATAAGCTAAAAGGGTAATATAATAATTATATTTTTGACAATTAATCAAAAATATTTAATTAAATTTTTTAAAAGAAAATATTTAATTAAGATTAGTTACCTAGTATATCAATTACCTGATATACATCGTATTTTAAAGACGTATGTTAATCAAAGTGTGTCATGGTGATAATGTTCACAATGTATTTTCTTTTTGTTTATGAAAAGTATAATAGTGTGCATTTTCGTTTTTTTTTTCATTGTTTTACAAAGGGTATCACATTGTGCATCTTGTATGTATCTCTGGGTATCACAATGAATATCATTTGTAGGTATCACAGTGTGTTTCTTCTGTTCACATAAGGTTCATCGGAATAAGGTTCGCCGAATAAGATTCACCGGAGAGAGGAAAAAATGCAGCCGGAGAGAAGAAAGAGGAAAGATGAAAGAGTGACATAAATACACATAAAGAATGATCATATTCAATGAAGATATCAAATTTTATATCAAATATGGTTTAAAAACAGTATATGGATATAAAGAATTAATAGTCGTTATTTAGTTCTTTCGACATTGAATAAGTATACGCTCGTTGGGTTATCCCTCATAAGTGCTTATTCGATGAAGGATTAATGGAGGAGAGCTTTTTAGCAATAAGTCCTTTTAACGATCGTTAGTTAGTGAGTCATCTCTTTCAATCTCATTGAGTTGGATTGTAAGAGCATCTTCAATGGATTCTCTACCTCATATATTAACTATTGAGTAAATTACACTTCTGGTTCTTGTGGTTGTCACTCACTATCAAATCTAGTCCCTATTTTAAACTAATTACATTTTTGGTCATTGTGGTTGCTACTTTGTTTCAGATTTGGTCCCTATGACTAACTTTGTTAAAAAAAGTCTGTTAACTTCTAAGGCATTTTGGTCTTTTTATTATTCCTTTAATTTCTAATAAAAATTAAATAAATAAATCATTATATATATATATATATATATATATATATATACCCTAACATAACAGATACCCAAACCCTTCATGGCGACTCTTTCCGGCCACCCTTATCTGACAGAACTCCAACGTACCACCCTTATTTGAAGCTTTTCATTTTTCTTATTTATGTTTGTTTGATTTGAAGCTTTTTCGATTTCCAAATTTGGGTTAGTTAGATCTGAGTTTTGATTTTCAAGTATGAAGCTTTTCGATCTATATATGTTGGTTTATTAGATTTGTTTGGTTTTATTTTCGTGATTTTTGATTCAAGAATCCAGCTAGATTGAAGTATATATATGTAACACTTTTTGATTTTGATTTTGGTTATGGATGGATTTGGATCTGTTTCAGATGGATTTGTTTTTTGTTTGTCGATATTGGATCTTGAAGCGAATATGGTAGACGTTGTTAGTGTCCATGGAAGAGGAGCCATATTGGTGTTCATAATATTGGACAAGGGTTGTTACATGTGTTGGTTTCATTTATGGCTTTTCATCGATTTTAGTTTAGAACATCCAACAACTTTGCTTGGAACCAAATGGTCTTTGACCTAGCGGTATCGTAGCCCTTGGCCTCCTAGGAGGTCAGGGTTCAAACCTCACCATAGGTGAGGAGGATGTGTGCGTTTATTTGTTGCATTTGCCGTATATAAATAGTATATACTTCAAAAAAAAAACTTTGCTTTGATCTAGTGAATCTCATGATGTCTCAAGCTTTGCAGGCTTCCATATTTTTGATGATGCTAGACAATTTGACATGGATTTTATGTTCGGTTTACCTGAGAAGATGAGTGGAGGGTGAATTTTGATGATGTTGTACAATCTAAAATGGATTTACCAGAGAAGATGATCGGAGGGAGGGTGAGGGATAGCCGGAGAGACAGAGGGAAAGGGAGAGGGAGAGGATGAGGATGAGGGTGAGGTGGGATGGGATGCATCAATCGGTGGTCGGTTGTTGATGACCTGTGGTGACTAAAAAATATTTAAAACAACAGAAAATGACAAAAAAAAATCTAATAAAAAAGATACAAAAAGTAAACATACCGAAATGCCCTTTAACTTAACTGGTTTTTTTAACAGAATTAACAAACAAAATGACAACCACAAAATCCAAAACAAAGTGGCAATTAGGTGAACTAATTTATTTTTAAACTAAAAGAACAAGAAATTGATATATATTTAACAAACCATCAACTAACGTTATCATTTATTGTATGACTGCAAGAACTAGCGAGGTTACATGGGGGAAAGATTGTCAAGCAAGAGAGTGGCAGGTTTTACGAAAACATATCAAGGCACGGAAGAAACCGTCGAAAATGACCGGAAAAACTATGAACATATAAGAATATATGAATTAATTATTTTAAAGAAAATAATAATCACGATTTTATGATTTTACATAAATAAACTTAATTCATATTTTAATTTTAATCATTTAATTTTTATTCATTTTAATGATTCAACAATAAAATACCAATTTATCTACATTAAATATGAAAAATAAAATTGTGAAATCAAATCTACACACTCAACAATTACAAAAAAATGGGGAAAAAAATATTAAAAAAATATATAAAAATAGTATATTTAAATATTAAACATATAAACTCTGTCACACCGACGATAAGAAATAACCTTAAATGAACGCAAGGAGGAGACACGCCGCCATAACTGCCGACGACGCCAGCCTCTCGCCGGAACTAGCCTTCTGATCCGCCACATCATCGGAATCATCATCGTCTGAAGAATCGGACGCCGGCGAATCCGCATCATCATCTTCCTTTGCCCCCTTCTTCTTCTTCTTCGCCCCCTTGGGCGCAGGTGCAGGCTCATCCGCCTCCACCGTTCCCTTGAATAACTCCCTCGGCAACAAAACCTTATCGATCTTATAGAGCGCCACCGGTTCTTCGTCAATCACAGTCCCTGTGACCGCCGCCGTCACCACTTTCGTCTTCAACTTCACATCCTCGCCGTCGTTTTTCACGGTGAAGTCGTATTTGTTAGCCCCTTCCGTCGCTAACGTGTTCATCAATCCGTTGCTTGATCTCAGCATCCCCATAGAATTGTAGGTCGGAACGCCGTGGTAAAGCAAAACCGACGTCTTCTCTTCCGCCGTCAAGTTCTTGTATTTTGGCGCGAACGCCGCAACAGCGGTTGCACTGGGACAGAACACCGTTACGCCGCCGTCAACAGTGCTTAAAAACGTCCCAATGGCTCCCGAAGTCGATAACAGATTGTAAAACGCTTTACATCCGTCTCGCTGTAACAACGACGTTAAATTCAGATCCGGCGCCGACGTTGGCGCCTCCGCCTCCGGCGACTGTAGAATTTCACTAATTTGGATGACGGAGATGTTGTAAGGCATTTCTAAGATGGATTTGACGTAAACGACGTCAGTTTGAGTGGGATTGTCTTCGGGAGTGAATCGGACTTTACCACCTTTAACGTCGGTGATATGGACATACCCGGTGGTTCCGGGGGCTTCTCCGGTGGCTTGGTACATTGTGGCGGTGGAGGTGGACCCTTTGGTGACTTCGTGGAGCTTTTTGGAGCCAAAGTAGTCTGCAAAAACATGAAGGGAGAGAACATTCTTTATCGTCACAAGTGAGAGACCTTTAGCGATCAACGCCGACATGGCGGCATTGTCGACGGCGCAAACGGTGATGGTCTGGCGGCGGTTGATCTCTCCGGCGAGGTGAGTGAGGGTGAGGTAGTGGTTGAAGGTTGAGAATTCTGGGTTTTTTGCGAGGATATGGGTTATATTGTGGGCATTGGTGGTGGTGGAGAGAAATATGAGTAAGAGGAAACAAAGAGGGATCGCCGACGTCGTCTTCATTTCGCCGGAGATGCGGCGGTTTTAGGCGGTGGAAGGTGGAGAAGAGGCGTTGTGAGTGGCTTGTTGGAAATGTATGTATATATAACCATCAATTATTTACTTTACGTATCCGTTATTTAATAATCTTGATAGGCCACGTTAAAATTCCATTTATTTTTTGATTTATTTTATAAGTTTCATCACAATCATCAAATCAAGCCAAAGTAAGTTTTGAATAAGATGTATTAGAAAAAGCATTTTATTTATATTTAAAAAAATGGTTAAAACTTTTATAGTATTAGAGGTTCATTTTTGATCCAAAAACGTATTTTTACTTTATTCTTATTTTGGGTAATATATTTTTAAAACTTCTATTTTGGTATCTAAGATGTAAAGTTTTAAACATATAAGTACCTAGGTAACGGGTTGAAAACTAATTTTAGATTAAAAAAAATCAATGTCATTAACCACGTCAGCAAATAATACTGAGGGGTTGTTTGTTTTCCTCTTAATAGTTCAATTAAGAGGTAGTCTCTTAATCGTTAAGAGATGAATCTTGTTTAACAAAAGAAAAGTCTGTCTTTTAGTGTTCTAAATTTTTTTGAATGATTTTGCATCATGGGCCCCCTTTAACCATTCAATGCCCTAATTTCATTGTAAATAATTACCAAACAATTATATTTCATTTTGCACTATATAATGAGAGCATCTTAATCATTCTGACCACTTAATCATTCTGCACTAAACCATTCAGCAACTACCAACAGCCCCTGAGTTGGATGCCACATCACTTGCCAGTTGCCACATCAGCATGATAACTGGTTAATGTTTCAACCAGTTACCTAGGTACTTAAATGTTTAAAACTTTACATCTTAGGTAATAAAATAGGAGTTTTGAAAGTACATTATCCAAAATATGAATCAAGTTAAAGTATGTTATTTTTTCATGCAATTTGCCCCATCCAAAAAAATTGACTGATATTTGTAGTAATTATTAATCAAGAAATATGGTTTTCTTGATATTATCAATTTTTCACTATTAGAAAACAGAGTATCAACGATGGATGAGCAACGAATTATACCTTTGTTGACGGATCAACGACGGAATTTTTTGTCGCTGATACTCTTCATTTTCATAGCGTTTATTGTGGATTATGTAAAACTATATTTGAATGTTACGTGTTTTGGGATTTGATTGTTTGTTTTTTTCTTCTTATGAAACCCTATTTGTAATGATTAAGTTATCAGTACAAATTAATATAAATTATTGTTATATGTACATTAAATCGTATTAAAATATCATTACTAAATGGTCGTTTACCAAACGCTTACCAAGTTACATTAGCTTACCAGATGCATATAGCAAATACCAAGAATCTTACCCGGTAAGAGTGAGGCAAGGAACCGAGAGTCTTACTCAGTAAGTGATGGCGACAACCCTTACCATGGTTAGCGCTTACCAGGTAAATTGTTACATACAATGCATTTTCCGTTGACTAAAATTTTACCCAATAAGCAAGTGACGATGTTAAAAATTACCCATAAACACTTACTGAATAAGTGTTTGGTAAACGATGCCTAACTTAATTATCATTAAAATTGAATCTATATTTACTTAAATGCATAAAACCTAGTATACTAATATTAAAGTTGTAGAGTGATATTAATTCTCCTAATTAAGCCAAATTAAATGATGTTTAAATTATTACTCTATTTACCAGATACGGAATTACAGGAAGAGTCTCATTCTCATGTATCTTTTCGAGTAATATTTTTTCCCGAAATGGATTGTTGGTAAACATATTTTACCCGATAAATATTTATTGAATAAAAGCATTATTTATTGAATAATATTTTCCTATGGGTTGTTTACTTGCGGCTTAATTAGGTTTATTGGTCTATCTGGCTTATTCGCACAGCTCATTTGCGTTGTTTACTTATGGCTTATTCGCACAGAACATGGCTTAATCACACAGATAAAAATGGTGTATTGTCCTCATTCAGCCACAAAAATGACACCCCTACTCTTTATTTAAAGCAGCGCTCCCTTCCCAATTTAGACACCCCATCGTCCGCCTCTTTATGATTTTTTGTTTTGATGTTCAAATAATTAATATTGGGGGGTAAATCGGTCATTTATATTATTCAGACTGTTGGTTCAGATAAAAAAAGTAAACAATACCCATTTATCCAGACAGACAAATTTATCCATACAAGACTTAATAAATAACACGTAAACATCTGGTAAATGATCCCTAGTCGATCGATAATAAACACATTAATTATCAAATAATTACCAAACTCAATAATTGCAATTAAACAAATATTCAATCACTATCACTTTGTCCATATCTCACCTTCCACTATTTGTTGTTTCTCATGCACATCCTTTCTCTTTCCCTTTTCATTTCTCTAAACGACACAAATTATCCTTCAACTACTCGAATCAAAACCCTCGAGCCTCGTTTCTCTGAACTGTTCAAAATTCTTGTAAATTCGATACATATAATCCACACAGCGATTTTATAACTCATGACTGTGTGCAACTCTCGTGAAGAATAACAGATATTTGAATAACGTTTACATCTTATATATATACATCTGTAATAATTTTGAAGTTATAACAGTTTTCTTTAATGGCTAATCTCAGTATTTACATGTCAATCAAAAACTTCACTACAGTCAATAAAAATAACTGGACGTTTCCAAACGGGTACCATCAAGTCGGGTGAATTCAGTATTAGTATTATATGTATTAAAATAACGTCTTTAATATTCTATGACGATCACTTTACCACAAATTTTGCATTGTAACTATTTTGAAACAATCCAATATAAAAGCTAATGATGTTGTTTGTAGAGTGGGAAGGCATCTAAAGTAATTACATACTTGAGGGGGTAAAAGTAGATGTTTTTAATAGTTGAAGGACCATAATGTAAGAAAGGTGTTAAGTAAGGATAAAATTTGAAATTTTATGGGGTTGTGGGTGGAGTGTCGGTGGGCTCATGCCACCGTGGTATGAAGATGCCAATTTACAACTGGTTACAATAAAATTATGCCATAAAAAGACAAAAGAGGGGCATGTTTTTCCATTATTTATTAGATTGGATCTTGCAATTAATTTGTGTTTTTATTTATTTATTATTAATTTTTTAATTAATCTGGATATCCAATCTGGTATGCGAGCCGGCTAATCACATGATGATCACCTGTTTTGCGGGTAGCTTGGAGTCACCGCATTTGAACATCCATGGCCATAAGAGGATTTTTATTCCTCATTGGATTTGAATCTGAGACCTCCAGACACTTTTGACCTTTGAAGCAAAGCTCAAACCAATCAGACATCATTATTGGGGTTTATTTATTTTGATACTGATGCACCCAACAGACCATGATATTTTTTGAACTTATTTTTTTTAAATAACGAATGTCATCGGATCATCCAAAAATATATATAAAAAAACATTATATTGAATATTAAAAATAACATAAGATAACATGTAACAACCAGAATTATTTTAATTGAGAATTTATTTGTTGGCATTTATTTTAACTAAGAAACAAACTGATCCAAATGTATCCCAACTTATAATTGGATCTGAGGAGCTATTTGTTTATTTCTTAATAGTTTTATTAAGAGGCAATTTCTGAATTGTTAAGAGGTGAATCTTGTTTAACGAAAAAATTGTCTGTTTCTTAATGGTTTTAAAACCTCACTGAATGATTTTGTATAATGGGTCTCTCTTAACCATTCAGTGCCCTAATTTCGTTGAAAATAATTACAAACAATTATATTTCATTTTGCACTATATCATGAGAGTTTCTTAACCATTCTGACCACTTAATCATTCATCAACTGCCAAACAACCCTTAAATTCTAAAAAGATGGCCAATGTGGTTTGTAGAGAAAGTATGGATTTGATCCATCTTCTAGCAGATGTTAGAAAATTCCGTTAAATTAGGGATATTTTCGTTCTTTAATCGAATATTTTTGTCTTTTACCCGATTAAAAGCAATTTTATGATTTTGGTTCTTGTGATTTTTGATTCGGGGAAAAAGACAAAAAAAATGATAAAAGGACGAAAATACCTCTTATTTGACGGAATATTTAACAATTGTTAGAAGAAAAGACTAAATCCTGATGTTTTTATGTACCACGATAGCCATCTAAGAATTTCGACTCTTCAAGGACCAAAAGTGTTATTCTGACAAACCACAAGGACCAAATTTTTACTTTACTCTAAAATATGTCAGTAGCACAAAAACATGATAACATTTGTGTACTGAATTTTTTGTATTGAATAAACCCAAACCGGAGGTATTGATAAATGGGCTAAACCCATTAGTTATGAGCCCAAGTCCATCATACATATATGATATAACCCTCCAAAAGGGATCGACCACAAGGCCCAAAGTCCAAAACCGGTTAAGAAAAGCCCGCAACTCGCGAGCCTACATAAAGCTTAAGGGGTCGGCATCAAGTAAGAGAATCGGGTCATGACGGCTTTAGAACTGGCCAGGTATAGGATCGATTAATTCTGAAACTAGGTCTGGTTAAATGAACCAGTTACGATCGATTATAAGTAGTTTTTAAAAGAAATTTGTTATGTTTTATTGATGCTTGTAAATGTTATTGCAAAAATTGCAGTGAGAAAGACACTCATATTCAACAATCTCGACACTTGAAGAAAATGATCGAACATCAACCACAAGGATGGTGCATGATTGGTTTGAGCTTGATTCTAAAGGTCAAAAGGACCAGGAGGTCACAGGTTCAAATCCAAGAAAGAATAAAAATCCCCTTGTGGCCATGGAGGTTCAAATGCGGTGACTTTGGGCTATCTGCAAAGTAAGTGGTCGTTCTGGAATTAGTCGGCTCGCATAGCGAGTTGGATATCCAGGTTAATAAAATACTGAAAATATATTTGATTGAAGTAAAATGTATATTTTTGAGAGAAATAGAATAAAAGAGTAAAATGGGTGTTTAGTTTCAATTCCAAAATAACGTAGTCAAATATATATCAGTCTGTCTTTATCTATGTATATGCTATACCATAAAATAATTAATAAAAAAAAAGTTTAAAACCATATTTTATGAATAAAATACTATTTATTGATGCGTTACTTAAAATTCAAGATTATAAATAATTGTGCTCAAGTACAATTCATTAAAGCTCCATGTATGAATTCATGTAACTAATTGTATATAAACATAATCAAATACATGATAAACATCTTATTTTAATATAAAAAATTTAAAATATAATTAGGATAATTATTAAGTTATAACATAACACTTAATTATTATCTTTATAAAAAGTTATATTATTAAACAAAAAATAAATTACTTCGTTGTTATATCTAAATGAAATTATAATAAAAAATAAATTAAAGAAAATTACTTAAAAAAATAACTTTATATAGTTAATCTCGTACTAATATCGATATATTTTTTAAATTTTTTATGATAGTTTGAAATTTATATTTTATTGAAAAATAAAAATATTATCATCTTTTTAAAACCACATAACACTACAATATAGTATCGACAAATATAAAAGGTAAAACAAAACATTAAAATTGAAATATATCTCTATATTATATGAATACCCTTTTAATATCTAATTAAAAATAAATATATATTAGTTTTATTCTATAAACATATGTTTTAAACAAGATTGTATATGATAATTTATCCAATTCAATTAACTACAAAAATCATTTAAAATCCTCTTATCACGGAAGTTTAAATGTGATAACTTCGGACTATCCACAAAATAAATGGTCATCTTAGAATTAGTTGACTCACATAACGGGTTAAATATCTAGGTTACCCAAAAAAATATATTTAAAAGTTAATTTAATTGTAGAACAGTATAATTATTAGGAGAAAAAACTCTATATCATAACAACGAAGTTTCTCCTATTTGATTAAAGCTAACAACACATGTAAATACATATTTTAAAAGTAAACCATATCCTTATCGCAAAAGTCACCACGTTCACTTAACTTGTCGTTAAAATTTCCGGCCATTAAAACGTATTCTGATAAGCATTTTTTATCTGGTAAGCATTTACCAGGTAAAAGAATTCTTCCTCACTAGCTAGGTGAAATGTTTGATCCTTGTTTGTCTTCAACCTAATAAGATTTATGGTTCTTGTCATACTCACATATAAAGTAAGTGATAACCGATAGGGCTGTAAACGAACCGAACGTTCAGCGAACCGTTCGTGAACCGTTCGGCGGGAAGTTCGTTTATGTTCGTTTATTTAATAAATGAACGAACATGAACAAATTTTTTTGTTCGTTTAGTTAAACGAACGAACATGAACAAGAGCCTCGTTCGTTCATTTATGTTCGTGAATGTTCGTTCATTTACCGTTCGTTTACGTTCGTTTATATTCGTTCGTTTATGTTCGTTTATATATTAAATTTAATATATAATCTTTTATTTATTTACTTTGAATTCAAATAATATTTATTTATGTTCGTTTAACYCGTTCGTTTATGTTCGTTTAGCTCGTTCGTTTATGTTYATTCGTTTACGTTCGTTTAGCATGTTAACGAACRAACATAAACGAACACGAAYACACCTGATTTCTAAACGAACGAACACGAACACAAATATTTTCGTTCGTTTACCATTCGTGTTCGTTCGTTTGTTCGGTTAAGTTAAACGAACGAACATGAACAAGCCTTCGTTCGTGTTGTTCATGTTCGTTCGGTTCGTTTACAGCCCTAATAACCGATAAGCGTTTATCCGGTAAACGTTTGGTAAACAATCCTTTAGTAACTTCGTTAAGGTAGCACGCGTCAATAGTCATTCACCGACTGTTACCACGGGCCATTCATCAAACGCTTACCGGATAAACATGCATTGACAAGATTCACCATTCTAAATACTCTTAAGGGATTACCGGGTAAAAAGACCTTCTCTCTCACCTAGCGTTTAAGATTATCAATATCCATCGCCTCTTACCGGGTAAATTAACAACACCCATTATCGGTAAACCACCATTGGTGCTAAAGGGTTGGATCCCGAATAGAATGGCAGTTACATAAAAATGGTAAGAAATATCTTCGTTCTTGGATCAATCATAATTGGAAATCAACACTAATGAGATACACTGAATCAATTCCACTAAGAAGCGTAATTCATAGGACAGAGATAAGATTATAAATGATCAATGGTCCAGATCTTTTCTTACGATTATCATCTACGGCATGTAATAACTACTTTCCACTTAAATGAATATAAAGTGTTATCAATAATCAATAATGCAAAAGTACGTTACGGTCAAACTCAATATTATAGATCGATACATAATTAAAATAAAAAATAAATAAATATTTAAATTATACCCATTAATAAAACAAAAAAAGATGCCATTAAATTTTTTTAGAAGTTACAATATAACACTTCTTATTAACAATTACGTAACAAATCCAAGAATATAAAACCTAATATCACAATCTTGTTTTTCGTTACAAGCAAATCAATATTTTTGATCAAGGGTTGTTTAAACGTTGTTGAATGAATTAGTGTAAAATGATTAAGTGATCAGAATGATTAAAAGACTCTTGTTATATAATGCAAAATGAAATATAATTGTTTGATAATTGTTGACAATGAAATTAGAACGCTGAATCGATGCCCAAATATACAAAATAATTTTAAGGGTTTTAAAACGATTAAAAAACAGACTTTTTTTTACCAAACAAAATTTATCTCCTAATGAGTTAGACGAAACTGTAAAAAAAAAAAATTCCCACTGAAATATTTTGATTATATCTTTAAAAAAATTGCACATGTTAAGAGGAATTAAAAATATATTAGAAAACACTAGAAAAAGAAAAGTTGATTTTTTAGAGGAAAAAAAAAAAAAATATATATATATATATATATATATATTAAAAGCCACCTACCTAGGCTTGACAGTGGCAGCTCCACCACTGCCACCACCGATGCTGCCCGATCTGCCCAAACTACCCTTCGGACTCCCTAAACCCAAACCCATTTGATGATATGAACCCGAATTGTACATCTGCTGGTGGTGGTGCCGCCCCATCATCACGTTATTCTGCATCCCTCCGTACATCCCTCCGCCGCCCTCATTATATCCTCCCGAACTAACTCCTCCACCACTCCCGCCGCCGCCTGCCGCCGCACCACCACCTCCTCCAGATGATCCGTCCTTCTCACCTTGTCTTCCCATCGTCGTCTTCTCCCCTTCCATCTCCCTGTATTTTGCTAAGTAAACCTTCAGAGGCTCAACGTATTCTTCAAACCCTAGCGTCGTCATCGCCCAAAGCAAATCGTCGCCGTTGATTGTCTTCCTCTTCTCCCTTTGGCACTTGTCGGATGCTTCTCCGGTGATGAAGCTGATGAACTCCGACACGCACTCCTGCACCGTCTCCTTCGCATCCTTCGAGATCTTCGCGTTTGCCGGCAACGCCTTCTTCATGATCCGGCTCACGTTAGCAATTGGAAGGAACCTGTCCTGTTCCCTCGCTGATAACTCGCCGCCGGCGTTGTGACCTCCTGATTCGTTATCAGAATCCGCCATGGCCGTGAATATTTGATCTGTGAAAGGAAAATTCGAATTATTTGGCGCGAAGCTCAATTAAAACTCCGGCCGGGATAAGGACGCCGGAGCTCCTAGAAGTTGGGGTATGCTAGAAGCGTTGAGTTGCGGAGAAAGAGTACGACGGTCGTTGGATCGAGGGAGTAATAACGCATCGATAGTGACACGTGGAGGAACGATAGCTGTTTGTTTGATGATAAGAAAAAGGTGACGTGGGATGTGTAGATACCGTTGGATGGGGAGGTGGGGTAGTGAAACATGAACGGCTGGATGATAATGTGACTCTTTGCTCGTATGAAATCGCATTAGAATCTTTAGTAAATTACATAAATAGTCCCTAGAGTAACCTCAACTTGTAGAAATTGTCTCTTTGAAAGATTATTTTGCATTAGTAACAACTTAACAAGATCAAAATATATCAAAAATACAACAAAGTTTATCTCGGTTATTATTTCATATAACTATAAGTGTATTCGTGCAATACAGCGAGATATGTCTTAATTTTAATGTTCGTTTTATTTTTTTGGTCTCTCTCTGTCAATATTATACTATGAATTTATGTGGTTTTGAGCAAATAATAATGTTTTTTTAATATAAATTTAAATATATCATAAAATTTAAAAAAAAAACATAAAAGTTTTCATTTTCTTTGTGTAATTTTTTTAATTTAAATTTTTTATTATAATTTAATTTAGGTTTCATAACGAAGTAATTTATTTTTGGTTTAATAATACAATTTTTATAAAGATAATTACTAAGTATTCTGTTAGAACTCAATAATTATCCTAATTATATTTTAGATTTTATATTTAAAATRAGAWKTTTATTCTMTATTTGATTATATTTATCTACAGTTAATTACACGAATTCAAACATGAAACTTAATAAGTTGTATTTATACACAATTTATTTGTAATATGCATCACTAAACAGTACTTTATGTATAAAAAATGATTTTTAAATTATAATTGTTGGCAATATAAATATCGAATTATCAATTTATATTGTAATTTTATCATATAAAAGAAAGATACAACAAAATCAAGAATTATACCAAGTAGACCAATCAAATAAGGGAAATAGATAGTCAAGCAAGTGGAATAGTCACTTTTGAATTCTAGGATCAGGTTCTTATTTTCCACAATCATATATTCTAAAATATTATAGGGGTGTGCAAAAAATCATCTGATCCAATATCAACCGACCGATTTAAATATAAGCGACCGATCATCATTGGATATTCAATTGTAATTGGATTGGATCGGATCCAAATTTTCAACATCCAAATTGGATCGATCGGTTCTTGCATGATGGTCCAACATCCAATAAAATCAAACCGATCCGATACAATGACCATCCAATTATTAACTATATAATTATTAATATTTTATGATTTTGTTTTTTAATTGATATTTATATACATTTCTTTTTAATAACTTAAGAAAAATAATTGGTTGAGTATTGGGTCGAAGGACTGGATGAATCAAATACGATCCAATAAATAACAAATAGTAACATTCAATGGATGAAACCGATCTGATCAAATCATCCACTGGATTTGGATCGGATCGGATGTTCAATGGTTATCGGATTAAATCGGATGACAAAATCCAACATCCAATCAATGATTGGATCGGATCAGATCCACCTAAATCCATTGGATCTCAGCCGATAAACACTCTTACTCATTTATCTCCAATAATTACATGAGAGAGAATGTAAATGTGTATTAAATAAATATAAAATAAATTAAAATCTGATATATCTTAATTTCATTGATAAAATAAAAATACACCTGATTTTTATATACACTTTGTGCATCATGAATATTTGTTAAGTCAAAAATTCTTTTTTATTAAATAATTAAATACTTACTTAAAATTTGTCGTTTAGATGTTTTTAAAATTATTTAAAGATTATTATTTTGTTTCTTTCTGTTCTGTTTTGTTTACGTCTTTATCAGATATTATATAGATAATTAGTCATGTTCAATCCAATAAGTTCTCTAATACCTCTAGAATAGAATTTAGATAATAGGAAGTAAAGTACCATAACAAGTTCATGAAAAAAATATCAAAAGTGTCCGGAGATCTCATGTTCAAAATCAAGAATGAATAAAAATCCTTTTTTGGCCATGGAGGTTCAAATGTGGTGACTCCGGGCTACCCGCAAAGCAGGTGCTTGTCTTGAGATTAGTCGGCTCGCATAGCAGGTTGGATATCCAGGTTAAAAAAATTTATCGAGAGTAAGGTATGAGTCTTGTATGTGTGTTTGCATAACATTAATAATGTATGTTGCGGTTTTGTTTATTGTGAGAACGAAGTTGATAAGAGGTTGTTAGGGCGTTGATTTGAACTAAAAATAGTCAAGTGTGTTGATGTGCAAATATTTGAAGCCGCAATGACTTGGAATGCGACTTGCAATTAAGTCACATTGAGCAGATAAGCTATGTCATGTCTAGTCCATGTATCAAACACAACTTAATCGATCTTGACCCTAAATTAAATTTGACACACTTATAGTTAACGAGATCAATCAGAACCTGATATGTCGCATAATCGATTTTAGTTCCTATTATGTTTGAATCCGGTATTTTTAGGGTGCGTTTGGTATGTAGACTACATGGGACAAGACGGGACAAAAAAAAAATAGTCTCATGTTTGGCATGCCATGGACAAAAAAAACATGGGACAAGGTGAGACTATTTTTAATTTTAGTGGGACAAATCTTGATATTTCTTGTTCCACCAAAAAAGATGAAACAACATGAGACTAAAGTTAAAATGACAATATTTTGATTGATTTATTGTCATTTTACAATTATTATATGATATAAAATAACATCGAACAATATTTAAGGGTAATATGGTCATTTTAATAGTTTTGTCCCTTTCTGTCCTAGTCGTACCAAACATAGGACGAACAATTAGTCTCGTCTTCTCCCGTCCTGTCCCGTACCGTCCCGTCCCCTCCTGTCATGTCTCATTCAATCTGCGTACCAAACACTACCTTAACGATTTCCGTTAAAGTAGATTTGACAATGCTAGTGATCATAGTTTTCAAATGCATTAGTAATTTATAATTTTTTTATTAGTCACCAGCTGAAATGAATATGTAGTTTTGTATTACAATTTACAAATACGAGAAAATAAAGAACAAGAACATTGTATTATAAAGTTATATAAATAGTTCGAGTAAGCCTTGAATAAGCCCCCGAAAGCTTGATATAAATAAATGAATTTGTATTTTACGTCTTTGAGTGATATATCTCCGGTATAATTAATAAATGAAACTTTAAAGAATAAGTTTCCTTTCTTTCAGTTATGGGAGTTTGTGATTGCTTATAAAAACAACTTATTGACTTATTTCGGTGTGACATCAGTAATAAGCATTTTCCAGTGTGTGGATATACCGGTGCCAAACCGTTAATAAGAGGGTGTTTGGGATTGCTTATTTAAAATAACTTATGTTTTTTTTTTTTTTTATAAAAGTGCTTATTAACTTATGTGGTATCAAACCGAAGTTTTGTAAAAAGTATCTGGATTAGCTTATAGCGGTATCAAAAAGCAATAAGCTGATAAGTTGTTTTTTAGTATTTGCAAATTTTGCTCATATATGTAAATTGACCAAAAAAGATAGTCTTTCGTATTATTAACTTACGAGAGTGTTTGAGATTGTTTATTAACTTATTTGTTTTTTGAACATGTAAACAAATTATTTTTCATCATTTATAATAATATTTTTGACAAAAATTTATATCAATAAGATTAATAATTTATATCAATAAAATTAATAATTTATGTCAATAAGATTAATAATTAACAAACATTAATAAACACATGATTAAAATGGTAAACCGGTAATAAACAGTTTTTCATAAGACATAAAGGATTAACTTATCAAAAACTGCTTATTACCGGTTTGGCACCGGTATAAACAGTTTTTTTTTTTCTCATCCAAACACTAGCATTTAGCTTATCACTGATGTCAGACTGAAATAAGTTAAAAGCACCTAAAATTAGCAATCCCAAACACTCGCTAAGAAGTTTTTGAAGAAATTAAACCCTTCTAACTTATAATAAATTGATAAATGTTTTTGTAGAAAAAAATAAGTTGTTTCAAATAACCAATCCAAAACACCCCCTAAATACAACATTAAAAGCCTTAAGAACGCCAAAACCACAAACATATAAAAAATTCATGTATGTCCCGAGTATATTTCATTCACTCGATCCAAACCCTATCCATGATGCTAATTAACCCACACAACTACTTTTTTTTTTTTTTTATTAACCTCGATAGTGGATATCCAACCCGCTATGCGAGCCAACTAAACCTAGAGTGAGCACCCGCTTCGCGGATAGCACAGAGTCACCGCATTTGAATCTCCATAGCCACAAGTGGATTTTTGTTCCTCATTAAATTTGATCCTGAAACCTCTAAACACTTTTAACCTTTGGAGCCCAAGGTCAAATCAATTGGGCACCACCCGTGTGTTGGTACTCTTAAAAAAACGTCGGAAACAATAGATGGAAACAAGCGTCTGTCTATATATTTATCGACAAGTTATTAACTGCCAATACGAACAAAAGAAATCTCAATAATTAAATAAGTCAATTGGGTAAATTTAGGGTGTTTTTCTTTTCATACAAATATTAATGCATATAATATATATACATATATATATATATATATACATATATATATATATATATGTGTGTGTATATAAAAATTTGGATACAAATTAACACATTCATGTGTTAAACTCATAAGAACAGATACTATCGATACGATCTTAACCAAAAGGTCGAGAAAGGTATCGTGTTCAAATCAAGGCGAGATCAATTTGATCATCGGATGGGCACCTTGATCCAACCGTTGAGGAAAGCGATGGCTAAGATGATAAACGGGGTCGACATGCCGAATATGATAATGTACGGTAGAGGCGTCTTCATCGGATTCTCTCCTTCCCGTTCACCGGCCGTTTGCCAATACCTGCACATTGCTAATCCGCCATTAACAGACGCAAAAAGCTTGGATTTTTGTTACGAAAACACGAGTGACTTACTGTTCTGGCTCTTGTTCTTTAGTGATGAACTTCTTCTTCCCATCTTTACCGAGTTCGCTGTCTTCTCCACCTGCAAAATAACCGAAAACCCATCAAACAGAAGATGGAATTCGAAGAAATTAAGGATGGAAAAGGAGGGAAAATGAACCTAGTTTTGCTCGAAGTTTGAAGTGGTGATTTGGTGGGTTTGTTCTTGGTGGACAGATGGATCGAAATGAAGAAGGTTTTGGTGGGATATGAAGTTTGGTTGCTAATGAAGTTGCAGAAGAAGAGGAAATGGAGATTTTGGCAGCCATGGATGGATGGGTTTGGAAAGGGGAGATGTGTTTTTTGGTATATCTGTTGAGTTTTGGATATGAAAGTAGTGGCAACGAAGGCTGCCAATCTGCCAATTTCTTTTCCCTTTTTTATTTAGTAAATATTTCTTTTAAGTTTTAACACTTTTTTTAGATTTAAAAAAAAAATTAAAATCAAAATAGTCATATCTGTACTATATTATAAAACATTTGACAAAAATTCTTAAAAGCCATTTTTTATTTATGAAGTAATGTTTATTGATGCATATTACTTAAATTTCAAGATTACAAATTGAACGTATGTACAATTTATTAAAGCTTCATGTTTGAGTTCGTGTAACTAACTGCAGATAAACATGATCAAATAGAGGATAAACATCTCATTTTAAATATAAAAAATCTAAAATATAATTATGATAATCATTGAGTTATAACAAAATACTTAATTATTATCTTTATAAAAAATTATATTATAAAACCAAAAATAAAAAAATGATTTAAATAAATATACAAAAAAGAAGAAATTTTAAATAGTTAGTTTGTACTAATATCAATATTTTTTTTTCCATTTTTTTATGATATCTTCATATTTATATTTTATTCAACAATGAAAACATTATCGTTTTCTCAAAACCACGTAAAACCATATTATAACATCGACTAAGACAAAAATAAATAAGACGAAACATTAAAATCGAGATGTATCTCGCTGTATTGTGCGAGTACCCTTCTAGTATTATTATAAAACATTTGACAAAAACTCTTAAAACTCATTTTTTATGCATGAAGTACTGTATATTGATGCATATTACTTAAAGTTCAAGATTACAAGTAAATTATGCATAAGTACAACTTATTAAAGCTCCATGTTTGAATTCGTGTAATTAACTGCGGATAAACATAATCAAATTGAGCATAAACATCTTATCTTAAAATATAAAAAATCTAAAATATAATTAATAATTATCGAACTCTAAAAAAATAATTAACTATTATCTTTATGAGAAAGTTATATTATTAAACAAAATATAAATTACATTGTTATTGAACCTAAATTAAATTATAATAAAAAGTTAAATTAAAAAAATACACAAAACATAGAAGTTTTAAATAGTTAATTTGATACTAAAATCGATATATTTTTGTCAAATTTTTATGATATCTTCAAATTTATATTTTATTCAAAAATAAAAACATTATCGTCTTTTCAAAATCACGTAAGACCATACTATAACATTGACTGAAATAATTAATAAAAATAAAATATTAAAATCAAGATGTATCTTGCTGCATTGCACGAGTATCCTTCTAGTTTAATTAAATATGTTTTTGTTATCGGTGTATATAGACGGTGTTGGATGGTTTACAACATTTTTACAACTCAATCTAAATATGGTATTTTGAAAAATCTCAACTTAATTCAACCATTTAAAAATAGCAGCTACGTACCCACATACGATGTTGTGCAAATCATTTTGATTATGAAGCCGACAACCTGAAACGGCAATATTTATTTCAAATTTTGTTTTATTCTCCGTCTCTTTCGATGCTAATTTTATAGCTTGTTGTGATTTTAAATCATAAATAAGATGATTTATAAATAGAAAGTTAAAATGTTTCATTGGTGTCAAATATTTTGAAATAATGTTTTTAACCCATTACTTGTTGTTCTTGCCTTTTAAATATCAACTTATGCATTAATTGATGGTTTATAGTTTAAACATCTTTAATTGGTTGTACCTCTTAAAGATTCAAGATAATTATAACTTAGGTGGCGTTTGTTTTTTAAGAGGTTCTGAAGTCTGATTTCACTTCTGGATTTTAAGAGGTGGTACTGAAGTCTGAAATCTGAATCAGTCAGACTGTTTGTTTTTACGTTTGAAATCTGAAATCTGAAATCTGAATCAGTCAAGTTTCAGATATGATAGATTTGGATCGATCTGGGTCATGATTTTAGGAGAATATGTGGATCGATCTGGGTCGTGATTGATTTGGAGATCGAATGTCTTGCGAGATAGATTTGGAGGACTAAATCTGGAGGGGAGAGTCTGGAGGGAGCGATTAAGAGGATTTAAGTGATTATGTTATCACTTTTTTTTTTCAGAGCAAATTAAGAGCTTATTCAGCTCTTATTTATATAAAAAAACAAACGGTTTGAAAATAAAAACGTCTGACCGGTTCAGACTTAAAAGGCATTAAGTGGTTTTTTTCAAAAAACAAACAAGCCCTTAGCCTTTTTTTAATATGGTATAGATACAAATAATATAGATATAGATAAAATCATAAGAACAAAAAAATATAAAGAAAAAGAAATCGCATGGAAAATATTTAATTATTTTAACATAAACAATAACAGAATAATAAAAAAAATTATATGCTTAATTAACCAGGTCCAACAGCAAGCACCAATTTAATTTAGAGCGAGGAGGTGATTTAGTAGCGGTGGATGACAAAGTAGCTTTATTACCTATTCTATTTATAAAAACCCTTACTCCAAAGAGTATTACACCATTCATATTCATTAAAAAAATGGTTTTATTAAATAATAAAGACTTAATTAACAAAAAAACAACCAAAAACGATATTTAATAAAGCAAAAGGACTAAAATATTCCTAATTTAAATGAAAGATAATAGATTTAGTCTCAGAGACGAAAATAACAATAAATTACAAACCATATAAATGAAAAACGAAATTTCAAAACAACAGGGACGAAAATCATAGTTTACTCGAATATAAGACAAATTAATTCGTATGTATTTATGATATTTAGTAGCATGATTAGATACACAAATATTAAATATTAGACTCATTTCGAATATATTGATGAGACGATTGTAATAGTATAATTTATAAAAAATATAAAACGTATTTTTTAAATGTATTTTAGCTCATATACGATTATTTATGTTAAGATGGTAAGAGTGTAAAATTCAAAATGAAGATGAAAAAATAAGGGAAATAAAATAAATTAAGTAACTAATTATTAAGGTACAAAGTGTAATTTAAAATTCTAAAATGATTTATGGGAAGAGAAGATATTTGGTCCAAGACAACCTTAGTTCCCTTACTCTCATCAGATGTGAGATCTTATAGTAAATGACCCAAAATGAGGAAAGTAGGTGGATGGATTGTAAAAAGTTTTAGGGTATAATTTGACATGAGTAGACATGGGAATTGGGTGGGGACTTCAATCCCTGTCCTCATCCTCGTTGGGGAATATAATCGCATCCCCATCCTCATCCCCAATTGGGAACGGGGATCCCCAACAGGAAACGGGGATATTTTTTCCTTTTATGTAAGTTATTTTAAGTTATTTTCAATAACCTAAAACTAAAATGAATTTAATTTAATACAAAAAAACCACAACATCATAAAATAACATAAAACCAAAAAAGCCTTAAATTCATATGTATCAAAAGATATTGAGTAATATAAAATCATATCGAGTAATATACAAAACTTATCGAGTAATTATATTTTGACTTGACATCTAAAAAAATTGCATATTAACATTCAAAAAATAACAATTTTAGATTATAAACTAATTAGGAAATTATGAATTAACGCTTTAATTGAAATAAATAATATATATATATATATATGTATAAATATATATTTATAATTTATTAATTAATATATATAACGGGTACGGGACGGGGCGGAGAGTACCATACCCGTCCCCATCCCCGGTTTGAGACAAACGAGGATCCCCGCCCCCGCCCCCATCCCCGTCCCCGTTTTAGCGGGAAATCCCCGTCCTCCACTGGGGTGGGTGGACCAGGTTCCCCGACGGGTCGGGGGCCATTCCCATGCCTATACTGAACGTCGGGGGCCATTCCCATGCCTATACATGAGTAGTTCAGTAGTGAGGGGTACAAATAAGATGGTTAAATACCCCAAGAAAAGGTTCATATATGATCATTGAAATAATCTATTTGAAGATTCATACGTGAACCAATATGAATAATTTGTAACGTTCACATATGCGTTTTAATGGCGGCAAATTCTTTCTAATTTTTAGCAACCGGTTGGAATGGATTTGGCTGACAAAATGGGTATTTGACAGTCGATTGGAGATGATCTAAAAGTGGTCAAATGTTTAAATTTCTTCTTACATTTCTTATTATAACTTTTATTTCTCATACAATCCTTCACCCGTGTGTGTGTGTGTATATATATATATATATAGGTAGGTAGGTAGGTAGGTTATTATACAACCATCTTACATTTGTACAACTAATACAATCCAATCTTAACCGTCCATTTAATTTGATGAATATGTAATTTCATAGAAGTTTTGATTGTTTTCTAATATAAAATATTGATCATAATTAATGAACCATATTCATCTTTCATAATATATTCAAATCATAATAAATGAATTCTCATCATTTCCATAAACATCTTAATTTACTGGGTTGCATTGGTTGTACAAATATGATAAGTTGCATTTGAAACGAACTCTCTCTATATATATGTGTGTGTGTGTATATATATATATACACACATACATATATATATAGAGAGAGAGAGGTGAGTTATTATGCAACCTTTTACATTTATACAATCAATACAACTCAATCGTCCATTTAGTTTGATAAATATATAATTTCATAAAATTTTTGATTGTTTTCTAATATAAACTATTGATCATAATTAATAAACTCTAATTATCTTACATAAATATTCAAATCATAATAAATAAACTCTCATCATTTCCATAAATATCCGACTCATTGATAGTTTTACAGTTTATCAATTCTGACTTGTTTCCCTCATCTTTATTAAATTTTTTGCCAGAACAAGAATACATCTCTGTTTTATACAAATCTAATATTGCACCAAACAAGAAACAAAATTTTATTAAATCATTTTCAAAAACTTGCCCAAAAGAATTGTACGTTGGTGTGGAGCTATCGTTTGTAGGTGATTGCCAACTGCAACTTTTTATCATGCCCAAAATAATTCTCTTTTATAACTTTCCGATTATTTCCGGACTTTTATTTAAAAATAAGCATAAATCTTTTCTTTCTCGTTAAAATTTTTATATCTAGGTATTAAAAAGCTACTCGCATGTAACTCAGTTAATAAATGGGCATGGTGAAGTATCAGAATTGTCTTCCACATTAGTGTCAGGTGGGTTCTGTATACAGTATACGACTGATTGATCAAGGTTATCAGTACTGGATTGAGTTCTAATGAGAATGAGAGTTAAAATAAGAAGCATAAAAAATATGTTCATTTTTAGATATACATTAGGATGATTCATGAGATGCATATAATCAATCTTCGTATCAAACGTGATTCATGAGTGTGTTTGAGATTAAAGGTGATTAATGGTCTAGATCATTTCTTATACTTTTCCCTTTTAACTCTTATTCTCACACGAGTAATCAACTTTTTTACCCTAAGGTTAAAATATAATCTATACTATATTATAAAACATTTGACAAAAAGTCTTAAAAACCATTTTTTAAGCATGACGTACTGTTTATTGATGCATATTACTTAAAATTCAAGTTTACAAGTAAATTGTACGTAAGTACAACTTATTAAAACTTCATGTTTGAATTCATGTAACTAACTGCTGATAAACATAATCAAATAGAGGATAAATATCTCATTTTATATATAAAAAAAATCTAAAATATAATTATTCATAACAAATTACTTAATTATTATCTTTATAACAAATTGTATTATTAAACCAAACATTAAAAAAAGAGTTAACGAAATACACAAAAAATGATAAATTTTAAATAGTTAGTTTACTACTAATATTAATAACTTTTTTAGAGGGTGTTTGGGATTGCTTATAAAAGCTGTTTTTTAACTTATTTTAGTCTGACACCGGTGATAAGCTGTTTTCTGGTGTTTGGATAAGGAAAAAAACTGCTTATACCGGTGCCAAATCGGTAATAAGCTGTTTTTGATAAGTTAATCATTCTTGACTTATGAAAAACTGCTTATTATCAGTTTACAATTTTAACCCTGTTTTATTTAACTCCGATATGATACCACATAAGTTAATAAGCACTTTTACAGAAAAAACATAAGTTGTTTTAAATAAGCAATCCTAAACACTCCCTTATAATATATCTTTATATTTATATTTTATTCAAAAATAAAAATATTATCATTTTCTTGAAACCACATAAAAATTGTATTATAACATCAACTAAAATAAAAAATAAAATATTAAAATAAAGATATACCTCTCGTTGTATTATATGAGTACCCTTCTAATAAAAACTAAAGAAAAAAGAAGTGGTTCAAAATGTCTAAAAGATATTCGATAAATCGAGGGTTCAAATAAAAGAAAAAATCTATTGCAGGAGCATTGACCGTTTACTTATAATAGATTTCAACATCGGCATAAATTGGGTTTTGAATCTTTAATCCCCATTTCCCCAGTTCTTGAAGTTTCCGAAGTTTTGATTACCATCTACTCTTTCACAATCCATCAATGTCTCATTCCCTTCTCCGATTTTACCCAACTCCCTATCTTGTTTCTCTCAAAACAATCGTTTCCATCAAACTATTCGCTTGATTGTTAATCTTTCTTATCCTTCCTGTTCTTCGTTCCACCTCAACCACGGCCTTTGATCTCCCACTGTTTTCCACAATTGGTCGATTATGCAGAACCTCCGCCATTGATCTATTGTATTCTTTATTCAGATTCTGTGCAACACGCCATTTTCTATACGAATTTCAAGCATAAACCCTAGTTCATCTTTGTGGGTTTTGTGATTTGAGCAGCAGTCGTGGTAGAGAACGTGATTTGAGGTTCTTAACGCTTACCCTTTTTTCTCGTTTGTTGGATACTGTATCTGGGTTGAATTGAGATTTCCAATTTTGTTTGGTTAGAAACAGATGGGGTTCTAGTTTACTGTTAGATCTTGTTACCTTTGACTTCCAACTGTTTGTGAAAATGTCTAGAAATTACATCGATAGAGCCATGGCTTCGTACAAGAAACCACGTATAAGAGATGGGGCGGTACGTCGTTTCCTTTTTGTAGTATCTTTAACTTTGGCTGGGGTTCTTCTGTTATTTTATCTTGTTGGGACGAATTCAGGTAGTGAGTTATTGAAAGAAAACTCGATTGAATTCGATAGTAGTAGTGGAGTTAGCTCTAACGTATCTGGTTTGTTTGAGAGTATCAAGCTTCCTAAACATAATTATTTGTCGAAAATGTTGGAGAAGATGAACCAGTTGCCACCAAGAAACATGGATTTGTATCCAAATCTAGCTAAAGATCGTATAGTTATCGTTCTTTATGTTCACAATCGGCCTCAATATCTCAAATTAGTCGTCGATAGCCTTTCACGTGTGTCGGGTATTAATGAAACTTTGTTGATCGTAAGTCATGATGGATACTTCGAATCAATGAACAAGATTGTGGAGGGTATTAAGTTTTGTCAAGTGAAACAAGTATTTGCTCCTTATTCGCCCCATATATTTTCGAATAGCTTTCCTGGCGTATCCCCTAATGATTGTAAGGAAAAAGATGATCCAATAGAGAAAAACTGTGAAGGGAGCACTGATCAATATGGGAATCATCGGTCACCCAAGATTGTGTCATTAAAGCATCATTGGTGGTGGATGATGAACACAGTTTGGGATGGATTAAAAGAAACAATCGGCCATTCGGGTGATGTTCTTTTCATAGAAGAGGATCACTTCATCTTCCCAAATGCTTATCAAAACTTAAAGATTCTTACAGAATTGAAACCTACCAAATGCCCTGATTGCTATGCTGCAAATCTTGCTCCAAGTAACGTGAAATCTAGAGGAGAGGGGTGGGATAGTTTGATTGCTGAACGGATGGGTAACGTTGGTTACACGTTTAATCGGACTGTGTGGCGGAAAATACATAGAAAAGCTAAGGAGTTTTGTTTCTTTGATGATTACAATTGGGATATAACCATGTGGGTGACTGTCTATCCTTCATTTGGTGGTTCGGTTTACTCTATGCGTGGACCAAGGGCTAGCGCGGTTCACTTTGGGAAGTGCGGGTTGCACCAGGGTCAGGGTGAGAATGCAGCTTGTGTTGATAACGGTGTGGCGAAGATCGACACTGAAGAGATAGACAAAGTTGCAAACATCAAACCAGAATGGGGAGTTCATGTGTTTAGAAACCAAGATGGGTATCAAGCTGGATTTCGAGGGTGGGGAGGTTGGGGAGATAAAAGAGACCATCAACTGTGCTTGGATTTTGCCAAAATGTATCACTTGAGGAGGAAAGCGTCAGCCGCCTGATTGTTTTGAAACGGTATTATCTGCCGAATCTTTCGTTGTACGTAGTTAAATACGTTAGATTTAACGTGCTTTATATTGGTGTCATACGTGTTATTTTCGTTTCTTGAAGTGGAATAAGGTTTTTATGAAGTGCTCGATGCTTAAAACGAGTTTGTTTTAGGTCAAAAATCGATGTTGATATTAGATTTTTTTGCCTTAAAAAGTAGAATAACATTCTCAGGATCTTCCATAGATATGCCAGAATCAATATCACTTTAGGAAAGGAGAGTGATCTTGTAGGTCTGTTATGAGGGTGCAAGATCTTGCTTTTAGAACGACAAAAAATCTAGATTATGTAGATAGGATCCGCTTGCCGTCAGGTGGGGACAGATGGGCAAAAAGACCCGACTTTTTGGTCTGGACCGGACCGGACCATGACGTCATAAGGTCGGACCAGACCAGACTGTTGGTCCTTAATTGGTCCAGACCGGGCTATTTTTGGATTTGACCAGAATTTTAGGGCCGGTCCGTGTTCATCTCTAGATGGGGATATACGTCATCCTCTGAAGCGCTCCTCTGGACTGGTCCGACGACAACGGGAAGGAAAAGATTAGCCGGGAACTTGGTCCGTTTTCGTAATTAATGGAACTAGGTTTGTACTTGAACAACGTTTGGAGGTTGTGATCAGTATTCCTATAATCGGGAATTAGAAATTATTTTTGCGCATTTCAAATATAGAAATGTATGATATAATTTCTATAAAATAGCGTGATTGATATAATTATAAAGAATTTTGATTTTATTATTATTATTATTATTATAAAGAGAGTAAAATAAATACAAAATGCTTTAATTAATACAAACCAGATCAAAGTTCATTCATTATGATTAATTTTTTAGATCAAGACTCGATTGATATATTTATATGAAATTAAATATTTTTTATTAAGTCTTGTATGGATAAATTTGTCTGTTTGAATAAAAAAAAGTTGTTGTTTACCATTTCTTTTGATGCTAAAATTGATTGTTTTACCGATGAGTACTAATTGTGCACTGATATCAATCACAGTCAGTTCTGTTTCGGGCAAATTGCATGAAAAAATAACGTACTTTAACTTTATTCTCATTTTGGTAACGTATTTTCAAAACTTTTATTTTGGTATCTAAAATGTAAAATTCTAAACATTTAAGTACTCGGTCAACCAGTTGAAGGCTAATTTTAGATTAAAAAAAGACTAATTTTAGATTAAAAAAATTCATGTTACTGACCACGTCAGCAAATAATACTGAGTTGAATACCACATCACTCGCTACATCAGCATGATAACCGGTTAATGCTTCAACCGATTCCTCGGGTACTTAAATGTTTAAAATAGGTACCAAAATGGAAGTTTTGAAAGTACGTTATCCAAAATAAAAATCAAGTTAAAGTACGTCACGTTTTCATATAATTTACCCTTTTGTTTTAGGCCATACAATGATCACTGCAAATAAAAACCAAGTTGTCTCTTAATCCAACTTTGCTTTTGATCCATATGTACTCTAAATCCAAAATGAGGATTACTGCTATTGCAACAGGAAAAATAAAATCCATAGTTGATCGAATAAGCTTGATATTTTTCTATTAAGCTCCAAATAAACACTTCCATATGATTATCCGAATAAGCTCATTAAACCATTAAGTCGAAAATAAGAAGCTCCTAATTATATCAAATGGTTTTGATTTTAGTTTTTTTTTTTTAATAGAAAACCTCCCCTAAAAAGTTTTACTATGCAAAAAATTATTACAATTATATAGCATAAACTCATACTCATCAATGATTTAAGTCATATTTCTACTTTTTATAATAAAATTTTACATCTTGTTGCATCATACGGGTACACGACTAGATAGGTGTGTACCCGTACGATATATCTGAGTTCTAAAATCGAGAACTCGAACCTTCAGTCTTGTTTCATTCTATTATTTGCTCCTCTTGATTTTTTTTATATTTTTATGTAATGTTGGATTGCGAATCTGACAGATATATAAATCCATTGTTGATATGGTTCCCACATGTTTGAAAAGGGAATCAGGGGTGATTTATGAACTTATATAATAGGTGTTCTTAGCTTGGGCTATACATTAAAACCATTTGAATGATATCGTTGGACGGGTATATGAAAAAGCAAAATATAAAAGTTCATGTGTATATAGAAAGAGAGAGAGACTTGAGATCACATGAGACCAGTTTGGTTTGTGAGATCTGTAAGATCACTTTTTTACACTTGAAACTTCACAGCAAAACACTGTGAATGTAATATTCATAATGTATTTATTGGGTGAAGGTTCAACTTTTTTTTTTACCTTCATAGCATTTTGCTACGAATTTTCAAGTGTAAAAAAGTTGTTACACGGGTCTACGAAAACAAGTTGGTCTCATGTGAACCCAATCCTATATATATATATATGTGTGTGTGTGTGTGTGTGTGTAGAGAGAGAGATATGTGATTTATTATACAACTCATTATATTTGTACAACTAATACAACTCAATCTCAACTGTCCATTTAATTTGATGAATATGTGATTCCATAAAAGTTTTGATTGTTTCATAATATAAAGTATTGATCATAATTAATGAACCCTAATCATCTTCCATAAATATTCAAATCATAATAAATGAACTCTGATCATTCCATAAATATCTCAATTAATTGGGTTGTATTGGTTGTACAAATGTGATGAATTGCATTTGAAACATCTTCTCTCTCTCTCTCTCTCTCTCTCTCTCTCTCTATATATATATATATATATATATATATATATATATATATTAAAAATCTTACAAATTAAAACAACATATATGTCTTAAAATGACAAGGTAACATACAAATTTCACTTAAATAACACCATTTTCCTAACATTTTTCAAAGCAAAAATTGCATTCAGTTATTTCAAAATCAACTTTTCCCAATAAGTCGTTATATTGAAATGATAGCCCTCTGAAAAAATACGATGAATGAGACTATTTGACTAGGAGAGGTCTGCCATCAAGTTAGATACCCAAGTAAATGACTTGAAGATTCACAATCGTAATTGAGAATCGGCAAGTTGCCAAATGGTAGAAAAGAGAAGGAACTGGGGCAGTATGTTAAACTGCTAAAAGATTATACTTGCCTAAATGAACTAAGATAATAAAGAAAAAGCCGAAGACATTGAACTAAAACAAAGGCTAAATATATAATCGATCCCCCGCAAAAAAATCGGGGCCCAAATTTTTTGAAGATCGTATTCGAAACCTCACATTGGTACACCCTCTGACGCGACCTTGTAAGTCATCAAACCACCATGCAAACTTATTATTGATTATATATAGGGCTGTAAACGAACCAAACGAACACGGACGGAGTCTTGTTCATTTTCGTTCGTTTTACTTAACCGAACAAACAAACGAATACGAAGGGTAAACGAATAAAAAGTTTTGTGTTCGTGTTCGTTCGTTTAAAAGTCAGGTGTGTTCGTGTTCGTTTGTTAACATGCTAAACGAACGTAAATGAACGAACATAAACGAACGGCTAAATGAACATAAACGAACGGGCTAAATGAACATAGATAAATATTATTTGAATTCAAAGTAAATAAACAAAAGATTATATATTAAATTTAGTATATAAACGAACGAATATAAACGAACGGTAAATGAACGAATGTTCACGAACATAAATGAACGAACGAGACTCTTATTCATGTTCGTTTGTTTAACTAAACGAACAAAAAAAAAAATTGTTCATGAAATGCTTTTGAGTGATCTGAATTTCATGGAAGGATTTGGAATCTTTGGCCTAGTTGATTCGGAGGATTTGCCGATTTTGAATGTGATTGAATTATATTATTCATAAAAAATCTATAAAAACAAATCTATATATATCTATAAAGCAAAATCATGATAGGTTGACATGACATCTCCTCGATGCAAAGATCCTATTTTTCTCTTTTTTCCACATTTTGACTTTTTTTTCTTAGTAATTTTGCAAATTAATGTTTACATTTAACTCAAAAACTCTTYCCTTTCTCTTGGTAYGTTTCACCTTCAATATTTAAAACCAATTAATTTTCACATTTAACTCAAAAACTCTTCCATTTCTCTTGGAACGTTTCAACTTCAATATTTAAATCATTCAATCTTTGGTTTTTTTTCATTTATGTGTTCTCCATCTCCATGTACGAGCTTTAAATTACTGGTACGCTTTCCCCTCTTCTTTTCCATCTCTCATCTATGGCAGAAGAGTATACACGAGTTTATCATTATATGTAAGAAGGCATTGGAACTTGGATTAAGAAGAAGTCTACATTGAGGCTTTAGAATTTTGTGAGAATTTTGATTGTTTTTGTTTTTATGTTTTTTATAGTGTTTTAATTTGTAATTTTGTAAGAAAAAACACCAACAATAAAATGACATTTTTAGGCATCGCAATCTAATTTTCGTTTCTCGAACTTTGCTTTTTTTTTTTTTGATGTAATTATTATCAAAATATTAAATTAATTAGACTATTCATTTTCGTTGGTTACACCCAATTTCTTTTGTTCGTTTATCCCATATAACTCTATTTGTCATTTACATAACAATAATTGAACACACACACA